AGGCTCGTGCTGCTCCTCGAATGCCAGAAAGGCCTAGTGAAGCTCCCCGGCGGTGGATTCCGGCAAAGCCGGCGGAGCCGACGCCGCCAGCCATGGCAGGTGGTGTGGAGTATTCGGGCAGAGTGGTGGGAGATAAGACACAGAGAATGGCGGAGCAGCTTCAGCAGAAGTACGCGCACTGGGTCAAGCGCGACACGCAGTACGACGTGGAATCCGCCAAACCGTTCAACCCGTCAAAACTCTACACAGGGGATGACTGAGAAGGTCTCAGTTAGCGGTACCGCTTTCCTAATACGCGTGATTGCACGCCACGGTTTGCGTTGTTTGTTGTGCTCGCAACAGATGCTCCCATAGCACCAGTTGCCATACCCTCGCCAAAAATGGGAGCATTGGCACCCATAATGTTGATACTAAATGGGAAATATTTTTTTCTTTAGTTAGAGAAGCAGGAGTGAATAGAGTAAATGGTATCAATAAATGGTTGTTTGGCATGCATATTAAAAGATGTGAATTGAGGCAAATTCTAATAACCCCGGACTGCCAGTACCGAGGATGGGCCTGCCTCGATCACATCCGCATCAGCAAAAGTGCAGCGTGCCACGTGAGACAATAGGCCTATCAAACACAGCGACAGGCGCACACGATACATCCATTGGTGCCGCCTTCTCGCCTACTGCTCCCTCCTGCATGTGCGGGCTGAAGGCAGATTCGTCAGTCACCACGATTCGTCAATGCAGCACACGCTGGCAACATCCAATCATATCTGTTTCTTGGTGCCACCTCAGCTGCCCCAGTGTCCCTCTCAACTCTTCATGCGTTTCTCGCGCTACCAATTCTGACCCAATCCCTGTCTCTCTCCCGCGACGATATCCTTTCACCTTCGCCCATTTTCTCATTCTCATCTCTCAATACTAACCATTTGGTGATTGTGTTTCCACCTGGTCGCCATGTCGGCCATTTCAAGCCCAGTCTCGAGCTTCTTGCGAGGTTCTGTTGCTAACAATTTCGTCGAGAGCCTTTCGAGCAAGTCGTCTGTCAGCCAGCAGACTGTTCGCGTTGCTTCCCTCAAGAAGCATTCGCTGGCCTCTGCCGTCTCCGCTCCGCGCGCGTCCATTTCGAATAATGCGGACTTCGGCAAGCCCGAGAATGCGAGGGCGAGCCGGATCGTGCCGTCCGCCGTGGCGAGCGAGCCCGCGGCAGTGAGCAACGCGCCAAATGCATTCCACGTAAGGAACCGGGGAGGGCTGGTGACGTTCAGTCGATGACTCGGGTGATAAAGCGTCAGATTTAGGGTTACGTCGGAATGCGAAGACTACAGTCCGATCGGTTCTTGCGAAGCAAGCGACATTGTCTAGAACTGGAAGTTACCCTAGCACGCGCGGCCTCGTCGCGTCAGTAACTTTCCGCGATATATGATGTCGTCATACAGACTCACAGTCGTGCGTGCTTGTCGCGAATCTCTCCTTCTGTATCGCCTTCTCACCGTCGCCGTCGCTCGCTGATGTCTCACTCGACTTTTGTGTCGCCCGGCCGTGTCGCGCTCCCTACGCGTACATGCAGACGGAAAACGGCTACCTCTACGTCGAAGATCTGCGTGTTGCTGACGTGGCAGAGCAGATCTGGCAGCAAGAAGACAACTTCCGTCCCTTCTACCTCTACAGCCGGCCGCAGATCCTCCGCAACTACAACGCGTATGTGGACGCGCTAAAGGGCCTGCCGGGGTCTATCATCGGGTACGCGGTGAAGTCGAACAACAACCTCAAGGTGCTGCAGACGCTGTGCGGCGCGGGGAGCGGCGCCGTGCTCGTCAGCGGCAACGAGCTCCGCCTCGCGCTGCTCGCCGGCTTCGACCCCTCCCGGTGAGCCCCTCCCTGCCACCCCTTCCCGTGACCCCGTCCCGTCATCCCTTCCCGTGACCCGTCTCGTCACCGCTCCACGTGACCTCTTCCCGTAGCCCGCTGGAACCTCATTCTAGGTCCACCCTAGCCGCCATAGTTGCAGCCGAGCACACACTGTCCATGGTTGAACCTGCAAGGAAATGAAAGTACTCACACGAGCATACGGAAAGGGCCGCTTTGAGGCGCGTCCGGCGATGCCGCGCGCTGCTCCCGCACCCACTCCCCTCCGCGTGCTGCTCCCCTATCCATTCCTCCCTGGCAGGTGCGTGCTGAACGGCAACGGCAAGCAGCAGCACGAGTTGGAGCTGGCGGCGGAGCACGGGTGTCTGATCAACATCGACAGCGAGTTCGACCTCGAACACGTCACCGCCGCCGCCACTGCCACCGGCAAGGTCGTCAACGTGCTGCTCCGCATCAACCCCGACGTCGACCCGCAGGTGCGTGGCGCGGAAGGGGGAGGGAGGGGTTGGAAGGGGGCAAGGGGGGATGATGGGGGAGAGAGTGAGGGATGTCGCAGCCGCACGCCCCGTTCACGTCCAACTGACTTGGAGACTTCCGAAGTACAGTCTGCTGAACCTACAGTAACTCCTTCACACCCTCGTTCCCTCCCCCCTCTCCATTCCACCATTCCCTCCGCCCTCCTGTCCGTTCCGCCCCCTCCCTCCGCGCTGGCTTCGTGCGCGCAGGTGCACGCGTACGTGGCGACGGGCAACAAGAGCAGCAAGTTCGGCATCCGCAACGAGCGCCTGCGGTGGTTCCTCGACCAGATCCGCGCGCGCGAGGGGAAGCTGCGCCTCGTGGGCGCGCACTGCCACCTGGGGTCCACCATCACCAAGGTATCAAGAGTGACGAGTACAACTGCTGGTCTGTGTGCATCTGTGCCAAGGCTGCCTCTGTGCCTCGCTTCAACGTGCCTCTCCACCTATTTCCTTTCCCCATTTCTCCCCCTCCCACTCACATTCCCCCCCTCCACCGCGCCCCTCTCATCTCTTTCTTTGCATCCCCCCCCCAACCCCCATGCGTGTGGCAGGTGAACGTGTTCCGCGATGCGGCGCGCATCATGGTGGGGTATCTGGACGAGATCCGCGCGCAGGGCTTCCCCGTGCAGTACCTCAACATCGGGGGCGGGCTCGGCATCGACTACTCGCGCTCCAATGCCGTCCTGCCCTCGCCCACCGACCTCATTGACACCGTGAGCCGCCCGCCCTCCCTCTCCCACACGCTCGGGGCTCCTTCTCACAGCACTCATACATGCTGTGCTCGTTGGGATCCGGCCCATTGCCTGCTGTTTCCAAGCCCACCCTCGCCACATGCTGCGTCTGGCTCTCTCTACAGTCTCTGTCTCTCCGTCCTTCACCCGTGTCCCCTCTGCCACCCCCGTCGCCCCTCTTCCCCCCCCCCTCTGCACTGCCCTCACACCAGGTGCGCGAGATAGTGACGGACCGCGGGCTGACGCTCATCATCGAGCCGGGGCGGTCGCTGATCGGCAACACGGCGGCGTTTGTGTGCCGGGTGATCGGGGTGAAGAGCAACGGCAGCAAGGACTTCATCGTGGTCAACGGCTCCATGTCCGAGCTCATCCGCCCCGCCCTCTACGACGCCTACCAAGTGAGCCGGGAAACAGGGATTCTACTCTTCTCAAGCTCTGCCACCCTGACACCTTCCCTCCAATCCTCACGATTTCCCTTTACCTGTCTTCTGGCTTGCTCCATGCCTGCCTCTCCTAAACTCCTGCCTCTTGCCCTCCCCCATTCCCCCTGGGAGCAGCACATAGAGCTGGTGGCGCCGGCGCCGGAGGGGGCGGAGGAGCGAAGCTTTGATGTGGTGGGGCCCGTGTGCGAGTCCGCTGACTTCCTCGGCAAGGCCCGCACTCTGCCCACACCTGCTGAGGTCAGTGCTGCTGCCACCCACTGCTGTGGGGAACGGGGGAGCCATGGGTGAATTTCCATCCCAACACAAAACGTTGTTGTTGATGGAGGAATTTGGGACCTGGTCTCGGTGCTGTGTACACTCTTGTATGCACTCTTTATACTCTGCATCATTCTGCCTCACGTGCTGCTGCGCTCATTGCAGGGGGATGCTCTTGTGGTGCACGATGCTGGAGCGTACTGCATGGCCATGGCCTCCACATACAACCTCAAGATGCGCCCTCCTGAATACTGGGTGAGCAACCCAGTTGCTTGGCTTGCTTGTTTTCTGATAAAAGCCTCTGTTGCCCCTTCCTGCTTGGCTTGCCATGGTGCATTCCAGAATAACCTACGATAGTGCTTCGGTGTGTTACACAGGTTACTGAGGAGGGTAAGATCCAGAAGATTCGCAGGGGAGAGACGTTTGATGACCACCTTCACCTGTTTGAAGGTTTATAAGGATGCGGTAGAATATGTATAGTTAAAGGTAATGCATGCCATCCTATTTGTGATTTGATGGTCATATAATTAAATGCTACAAGCATGATGGAAGTTGGAACCGATTACCTGAAGTAGGAGCCTCTTCCTGGTTAGAAAGCAACGAGCATGGCAGATATAATAACGAGTTAAATAAGAACAGAACGAGTTAGCATAGCAGATATAAGAACAGAACAATGAGTTAAATCTGAAAACTCATAACGGGGTTCACGTTTCCAGATGTCTTGTCCGAACAACTTTAGACACGTGTCTGACCATCCATCCCCCTCCCATCCCTCAGCTACTGGACCTCGGAACTTTCTTCTCTCGTCGTGCCCCATTGGTCCAGCACAGCACGGCCAAACCTTTTCCGCCATGCGAATCATCTCCCGCCACAAATCCATTCAGAAACATTTCCGAAGGCCCCAATTCCTCCCCTGTCCAGCTCCCACCAACAACGGGCGGGTTTTCGGCAGGGGCGCACGCACGGAAACCAGAATGCACGCAGCCAGCTTTTCAGGCCAAACCCGCCCTCCGCCCCAACCGCCGCAGTATGATGTGATGTGCCCACCATCTCGACCATCTCGACGCATTTCGTTTCTACCTCCCTCCTGCACAAAAACATTTGCTGCTGCCACTGCTGTGTGCCATCAGCATCGCATTGCTGGATTGCCAGTCATTCCACGAGCCAATCCCCTCCCTGCATTACCGATTAATCATGGCCAGCGCGTCGTGCCTCGCAAAGGTGAACCTGCAGCCGTCCCCCTGCGCTGCCGGTCTTAGAAGCCAGTCCGCGGATTGCGCGTCGTTGCGCAAGAGCGTCGCGGTGCAGCCATGTGGCGTGCGGAGGGGAGGGAGCGTTCGCGCGCACAAGGACGCGGAGAGGGTTGGCGTGGCGGCGGCGGCCGTGGCTCTGACGTCGCAACTCACGGCCGCAAATGCCGCGCTGGCCGTGGACGCGGACCAAGTCCGAGAAACACTCGCCCAGGCATGTACCGCGCCCGTTCTCAGGGTCTAGAGTCGCCCCATTCGTAAACAATTTCTTAAGTTGCTGTATGGAGCTGTTGTTTATTCATTTCCTCGTTCCTCCATGCCCTGATTATTATTTTCTCGATTTGTCACTCCCTATCCCGTATTCCTTCAAATTGTCCAGGTGGAGGAACTGGCTAAGCAGACTGCTGACCTGGCAACCAAGGTCTACAGCACGAGCATCGACGTGGCAGAGCAGGTGGTTCGCGTCACCAAGCCGCTGGTGGAGGCGGCAGCGCCGGTGGTGATCGAAGGGGCACAGGAGGCGTTAAAGGCGGCGGCGCCGGTGGCGTCGGACCTCGCGGAGAAGGCGTCCAAGGCGCTGCAGGACTCGGGCGTCGACGTCGCGCCCGTCGTCGAGGCCGCCAGGGTACGTTCACGGCCGCTGAGGTAGAATTAGGACCGCCAATGCACGTTTAAGCTGAGGTACGCACGCCCTCTGACTCGCGCCAGCCGCGTGACGAACCAGCGCTGCACGAGTCAAGCATGCGTAGATAGCCTTGATCGTATTGCTAAAACTGTTAAGGCTGTAATAGAGCCGCACGGCCAACCTATAGGGGAGTGCGGGAAAAAGGGCGACTGAGAATACGAAGCATGGAATGAACACAGGACCCAGCATTTTGAAGCCTCGAAAGGGAGAGATAACGAGAGACACTGAGCACGCAGCCATCGGTGGGGAATGAGCACCTGACGTGGCCGCACTGCTGCCGTCGTATGGGCAAATCAACAACCGCAATACTGTCCCGCGCAAGCGCCCATCTTCGCCAGCCCATTTTTCACTGGCTCGCCGTCGCGATTGCCTCCCATGTCTCCACCCGTCTCACCGTTCCCCGACTCATCCTGGCCCCCATCTTACCTCCCCCCGTAACCGCCCCCCCACCGCCTCCCGTGCGGCTATCGGCGCGCAGACGGCGGCGAGCGTGGCGGACGGCGTGAGCGACAGCACGGGGCGCGCGATCACGGCGGTGACGCCATACGCGACGTCGACGGTGGACCTCATCAGCTCCGCCGACCCCACCGCGCTCTCCATCGCCGCGGGCGGGCTCTTCGGGCTCTACCTGCTGCTGCCCTCCATCGGCCGTGGCATCGCCTACTCCTTCCGCGGCTACGCAGGTGCGATCACTGATGCTGCTGTTGCTGCTGCCGCCGCCGCCGCCGCCACCTCTGCTGCTGCTGCTGCTGCTGCTGCTGCTGCTGCTGTCGCTCTCTCTGCTGTTCCCCGTCCCCATCTCATTTGCTCTCAATATCACTCGCTCCCAGTCACACTGCTTCCACCAGTGCGCCCTCGTGTCCCCCTTATTCAACCCAACGACCCCGCTTGTCCCCCCTTCGCCACATTCCAACCCCCCATCTTCTCCCTCCCTCCTACCCCTTCCCCTCCTTCCCACCCTGTGCAGGCGACCTCACGGCAGCGCAGGCGTTGGATGTGTTGGAGAGGGAGGAGAGCGTGCTCGTGGACGTGCGCTCCCAGTCTCACCTGCTCCTACTCTCGCTCCCACTCTCACTCGCTCTCCCTCTCTCATTCGCCCCTTCCCCTCTCCCACCCCGTGCAGGCGACCTCACGGCAGCGCAGGCGTTGGACGTGTTGGAGAGGGAGGAGAGCGTGCTCGTGGACGTGCGCTCAGAGGACCAGAAGCTCTCCTCCGGCGTGCCCTCTCTGCCCCGCGGCCTCTCCCGCAAAATCATCTACGTCCCGTGAGTCCCGTGCCATACACTTGCTTGTACTCATCTACGTGCCCCGAGTCCCATGCCATGCACTTGCGTTCATCCCATCCTGGTAGTCTTATGCTCCTGGTATTCTCGGTTTCAATTCTGCCCCCTCCATCCCAACTGCTTTCACCCTGCAATGCGCCCCTCACATGGACGTGCCTGGACCCTCGACCCATCATAACAAGCCGGACTAGATCGCACATGAAAAGCCACAGAAACAAAAAGAGCGGAGGAGGTGACGGTTGAATGCCAAGAGAAGCTAGAGAGCCAGTCAAGACTTCTGAGTTGACTAAAAAATATTCCCTCTCCCTCCTCCAAAACCCACCCTTTTTCCCCCTCCACCGTTGTGTGCCCTCAGAGTGGAGGAGGTGCCAGTGGAGCTGCGCGACCAGCTGAAGAACCCCTTGAACACGGAGGCGGAGCTGACAGCCATCAAGGTGGCGTCGCTCAAGAGAATTGGCCGCCGCGCCAAACTCATCGTCATCGACAAGTCAGTTCGCTCCCTCCCTCCCTAATTTGCCTGTGTTCTGTTTGTATTCTCTCCTGATTCCACCCCACACTGAACTCTCAACTCGTCAGCTTCTTGACCAACCTCCTGATTGTGACGTCCACTCAATCCTCCCCTCTCTCCCTCGTCTCTTCCCCACTCTCCTCCCCTTTCTCGCACCACCCCCTCCCAACACCCCGTTTCCGTCATCACCCGTCTCCTCCCTGCAGCGACAACGAGATCTCAAAGCAGGTGGCGAGGTCGCTGGCCTCTCTAGGCTACCGCAACGTGTGGGTCGTGCGCGACGGCGTGGAGGGGCGGGCCGGGTGGGCGGCGAGCCAGCTGGCGATCGACTCGTACGATGGGCCGCCCACTAGCTGGTTCTCGGTGCCATCCTACTCGTCCGGGGGCACCAGCAAGGAGCGCACTGGCACCCAGAAGCTCGGCACTCAGTCAAGGCTCGGCACTCAGTCCGTATCTGCAGCTGCCTCCACTGCTGCTGGGGAGGAGTAAAGCTGCGGACGTGGGTGCAGCAATGACAGTTTTGTGAAAAAGCTTTAGGTGCTTGCGTTCTTTTGTAAATTAGGTTTGTGTTGCTCCAACCAAGGAGTGAAAAAATAATATGGTTGGAATGTTGATGTGGTGGTGAGTAGGAAGCAGGAAGAAATAAATATGGAAAATACCTAGTGTGGGTACTATGGATTGGGATTCTTAAATTCTAATTGATGTCATATCATTAGCTGCTGGAGATTTGAATGAATCACGAGTCTCACTAAATGACGTACGGAAGTAGGCGCGCATTCAGCCCTTAGCCAGACCCCAACCACAACCCCCCTGAGGCTGAGGCTTACCTTCCCAAATTCACCCCCTCCCCGCGACACCATGCCGCTTCGCCCCGCAATCACAGCGCCCTTCGTTTCTGCCTTCCGCCCGTGTGCCTTGCACATCCTTCCGCGCGCCGTTCCGCCACCCATCCCTGCACCCATGGCTGCGCAGATCCCTGCGCTCGTCGCTGCGCCCACAGGCACGGACCTGAGGGAAACCAGCGGCACCATTTTCACACGAAGCCGCACGGACCGCCGAAGCCAATCCTCGTCGCAATCGGTTCCTCGCGAATCGTCGCTACGGCCTCTGGCGAGCCGGCTTTCCTCGTCGCTCACCCGCCGCGCCCCCTCCGCTACCTCCTCTCCTGCCCAGCGAATCCCACTCGCCACCGCCACGTCAGCACGGACCACTCTCCGCGACGCGCATAGCGGGGGAGCCAGGGGATTGCGCTGTGCAGGTCGGGCGGACGCGCATGCATCCGGGGAGGCGGGCGCGGGGGCCACGCGAGGAGGCGAGAGCAGCGCGTGGCAGGTGGAGCTGGTGCCGTGCCTCACGGACAACTACGCTTACCTCCTCCGCAATGCCGCCACCGGCGCCGCGCTCGTCGTCGACCCCGCGGAAGCCGCGCCCGTGGAGGCGCGACTGGAGGAGGGGGGGGCGGGCGGCAAGCTGGCGGCTGTGCTGTGCACGCACCACCACTGGGACCACACAGGCGGCAATCTGGCGCTAAAGGACAAATACGGCGCCACGGTAGGTAGTTCCTTCGTGAGGGGCTGAAGGCCGGGTGCTGAAAGGCTGAAGCTTCAGTCATGTGGGCGGTAGACTCGATGATACTCCTTGGCATATCACCACACTCTTGTTGCTCCCCTCCTTATGGCTCCTCACCCCATCGCTCCACACCCCACGCCCTGCGTGCTATCCCCTGCTGCAGGTGGTTGGGCCTGCTGCTGACAGGGATCGCATTCCAGGCATTGACGTGGCGTTGTCAGATGGTGACACGTGGCAGTTCGAGGGGCTAGAAATGCACGTGCTGCACACCCCCGGTCACACCCGAGGTACAACTGTGCCACCTGGGGAGGGAGAGAGGGTAGGGGGGTTGCTGAGCCGTGAGAGGCACTGCAGGGAACCCGGGAATGGCAGTGAGCAGAGTGAGTGAGTGTACGTCAGTGAGTGAGTGCTCATCACCACAGTCAATGCCTGCATAAGTATTACGCATCGAATTATATGCTTGATTTTCACACTCCTTCCACTCCCCTCGTCCTCTTCCTAATCTCCTTCCTCCATCTCCATTCTGTTAATCTTCCTCTCATCCATGGGCTCAACCCCACCCTCCTCCCTCTCCTCTTCCCCCTCTCCCCCTAACCCACCAGGCCACTGCGCGCTCTACTTCCCATCCCTGGCAGCGCTATTCACGGGCGACACACTCTTCTCCCTCGGCTGCGGCCGCCTCTTTGAAGGCACGCCTTCCCAGGTGCCATCCGCGCTGCCCTGTGCTGCCTGCCTTATGGTCCTCCTGCCCACACCTGCTTCCCTCCCCCATCCTTCCCTCGTCCCTCCCTCCTCCCCCCTCCCCCGCTTCCCACAAGTCCCTCGCCTCCAATCCACACAGCTCACCCCATCTCTCCCCATCCCCATGCAGATGTGGGCATCTCTCTCCCGCCTGGCCTCGCTGCCGCCCGACACGAAGGTGTACTGCGGCCATGAGTACACACAGGTGAAACCCTCTGTGCTCCTTTTTCTTTTTACCTTCTCTGAATTTGTGTTTCTGATGTTTCGTAACTTGAATTTGCATTCTAAACACGGAACTTTTCTGGTCATGTCTTGTGTGTGTTATGTGTGGGTGTGTGTCTGTGATGGGTGTATGGGTGTCCCAAACGACAGGCCAATGTGCGCTTTGCCGTGGCAGTGGAGCCAAACAACCCCGCCCTGCAGCAGCGGGTGCATGAAATCACCCGCCTGCGATCCCAATCACTGCCCACTGTGAGCCCCCTCCCCCTCTCCGCCCATTCATCTGCCACATGTGCATGTCATTCCTGCCTCCTCTTCTGCACTACCTTTCTGCCCACCTCTGCCCATCCCCCTATCCACCCACCCGCCCATCTACCCACCCCCCATCCGCCCAAACTCTTCCCAATCCCCCTCTCCCCCTCCTCGCCAGATCCCCACCACGGTGGGCGTGGAGGCGGCCACCAACCCCTTCCTGCGCCCCGCCAGTGCTGAGATCCGCCAGTCGCTGCACATGGGCAATGATGCTGCTGACGTGGACGTGTTTGCAGCTCTCAGACGCATGAAAGACAACTTCTAGGCTCTGATTTTGTGTCTTGTAGCCGGTGACGCCTGGAGTTGCTTAGTGTGCTGCACGATGTGTAACGTATTCTCCCGAAAAAAACACCCTAGGGTATAGCTAAAAATACAGGGAAAAAATGGGGGGGGGTCTCCTTATAGGAAAAAACTACATAATACCCGGGTCCTTACATATGGCATATTTTAGTGTTAGTGTTTTTTTAATTAGACAACGTGGGTGTTTTGATGGTCGTTTTAACATCACTGTCTGAGGCGCGAATGTGAGTTTCGGCCGCAAACTTCATCACCCCCACGAAAATGCCATGTGGCACCTCTCTGGCCACTTGCAGCGGAAGATTCACCGGCACGTGGCGACAGCGAAATAGTGCGAGGGGGGAAATCTCGGCAGATTGTAAGTGAAAGTACCGCGAAATTTCATCGAGGGAGAGATTCTCGCGATATTCTTCCGTTTTGCAGCTACTCGTTAACGACTAAAATAATGAATCCGTAAGAAAAGGGGGGTGTTATAGAAAATCAGCCAAAAAGGGGGGTATAGTAGAAACGAGGTCTGTCATAACACCCACCCCGCACAAGCTACCCGGGGGGTGTACAATTTCTGCAGGTGTTATGTCCGGGAGAATACGGTATTATTACGGTGCATTTATGTGCTAATGGTGTGGCTTAATGAAAGCCCTGTATTTGCGGTGAACAATGTTGGGCTGAGTGCCCCTTAGGATCTTTGGTAGGGTTAAACTCTGGGTAGAGTGATGTAGTAGCGGAAGCGTTTAAATGAAGTCCTTGAACCACCTTGCACTGGTATGTGAGGGCAAAGTAAGTTGATTAAAACAAGCAAGTACAAAGGTTTATATAAGAGTACAAAGAATACGAAGAGATATAATTAAACTGTTTTACTGTTGCGGTTCGATACAGTGCGACTCGGGCAACTGCTCAATGTCGAGTCAGTTGTGTGTCCTTGCTGTCGCGCTGCATTTGTCAAGTCAAAGGTCGCTGACCTTTGACTTTCGCGTAACCTCCAGCGGTTACTTCAACCTCCGAGGGTTGACTCGCTGGTGCCTCGATATGCTCTGCTTCGCTTGTGCCTTGGTGTTTCGACACGACAGAGGCGCTTAAGATTGTTTGTTCCCAACACTCCCCTTCGCTTCTGGAGTGTCGCTGCTGGTGACGTGGCTTTGTCCAGTCAGCAGCATGCAGTACTCGAACTTTTGTTTTCCGAGCTTCTTGGTAAAGTAGTCAGCTGCCATCTCGGACGTGGGACAGTAGGATAGTTCAAGTCTCCCCTTCTCAATCTCGTCTTTCACGAAGAAATATCGCAGAGCGATATGCTTCGTTCTGTTCGCGAATCCATTTTTGTTGGCGATGCGAATTGCAGATTGGTTGTCGCAGAACAGAGTGAAGTTGGGTAACTCGACTAACTTCGCTTCTTCCAGCAGCTCGCGAAGATAGAGTCCTTCCTTGGTGGCTGAGCAGAGTGCAATATATTCTGCTTCAGCTGACGAGAGAGCAATTAATTCCTGCTTGCTCGATTGCCAGGAGATCGGTCCGATAGGTTCGAGGCGGTAGATGTAGCCGGTGCGGGAGCGCCTGTTGTCGGAGTCGACAGCGTGATCAGCGTCGACGTAGCCGATTAATTTAGTCGGTGTAGTTGTGTTCTTGTAGTAAGTTAGGCCGATCGTTGAGGTACTGACGAAGTAGTGGAGAGCGCGGTCGAGCTCCGCCAGGTGTTCTGCTTCAGGCTTCTTGAGGTAGGTGGCGAGCTGGCTTGCGGAGTATGAGAGGTCGGGGCGGCAGGTGACAGCTGCGAAGAGAAGGCATCCTAGCTTTCTCTGGTAGTCGCGTATCCCGGCGGATTTGAGTAGAGAGGATCCTTCCTTGTGGTTTCCTGTCGCGTAGCGGTAGGGCGTAGAGATGGTGGTAGGTGTGAGCGCGAAGCGTTTGGCGATGGTGTCGGCGTACTTAGCGGCGTTGAGGTAGATCGCGCCTTCTTCTTCCCGAATGTTCAAGCCGAGGTACTGTGTGACGGTAGAGGAGACCGTGAGTGTGAGGTCCCTCTGTAGCTCCCCTTCGAACCAGGTGGTGATGTCGTCAGTGGAGCCGATGTAGAGTAGGTCGTCTACGTAGACAATCAGCAGAATGTAGTCGGTGTCTTTAGTGAGTCGGTACATTCCTTGGTCGTGAGGTAGTTGGCGGAATCCGATGCGAATGAGGCGAGGGTGTAGGTACTGTTGCCATAGCCGCGGAGCTTGCTTGATCCCGTAAAGTGATTTCAGCAGTTGACAGACTTGGTTAGGTTCCCCGTTGGTACCGTGTGGGAGCTCGACGAAGATTTCCACGTCGACAGGTGCATAGAGGAACGCGTTGGCGACATCGATTTGCCGTAGCTTCCTTTTCTTCATGGCGGCGATCGCGAGGAGGATTCGAAGTGAGGTATGTCGGCTAACCGGGGCGAATGTCTCGGTGAAGTCCCGTCCGTGCTCCTGATCGAATCCACGCACAACCCAGCGTGCTTTGAACTTATCAATTGTGCCGTCTGCTTTTGTTTTAACGCGGAAGACCCATTTCCCGGTGAGAATGGTCTTGTTCCTTGCCACGCTGATGGGGACAACTTTCCAGGTGTTCCGTTCCTCCAGCGCCTTTAACTCTCTGTCCATGGCTTCATGCCATTTTTCCCTGTGTTCCCCCCCCAGAGCCTGCTGAACCGTCGCAGGCTCCTTAGGAAGAGTGTTGCCGTGGACTGCGGTGACGAGTCCGAGAATCTGCAGTCCAGTCTGTGAGTAGCGGGGAAGAGTTGCATCCTCGGGATAAGCTGCTTCATCTCCCGCTTCTGGATCAGGTATGAAATTTGGTTCTACTCGTTCTGCTTCGTTGGTGTTGACTGTCGCAGGTGTTACGTAACCGTTGTCGGCGAAGTAGTAGAAGGTTTCGGCGTTGACACTTTCGCGAGGGTTATCTTTGTCCATGGGGACGTCGACGGAGCAGAACGGAAGGGGTCCAGCTTCTTCTGATGCGTTGGCCACATTCTGCTCGTCCCAGTCAGCTTCGTCTGCTGCCGAGGCGAAGGCTCGGTCACCACGAAAACCACCTGTGGGATCTTGGTCCTCTTGCAGGTTGGCAAGGTATGTCTGGAGCGTGAGTCGTTCGTAGAAAATGACGTCGCGTGCTGCTACTGTTTCCTTGGAGTGGACGTCAAAGATTTTCCACGCGTTGTAGTTCTTTTCGATGCCGAGGTGTAGTCCCCACTGTGCGCGTTGTGAAAATCGGCCCGCTCGTGCTGCTGGGGGTCGGTACTGTACCATGCATCCGAACACTCGTAACATTTTTGTGCTGCCCTGTTTTCCTGTCCACAGCAGATGCGGTGATACGTTGTTCGGTAGTGATGAAGATGAGAGCAAGTTGTGCAGCATGACAGCGTGGTCCATCGCGTCAGGCCAATGGTGGTTGGGTAGCCGCATGCCACGCAACAGTTTGCGCATGCTGTTCTGCAGAGTCCTGTTTATTCTTTCTGCTACACCTTGCTGCTGATGGGCGTAGGGAAGAGAGAGGAGCTGCTTGATTCCCCTTTCCGCCAGGTACTGCTTGAATCGCTGAGAGGTGTATTCTCCTCCTCCGTCAGACTGGAAGCTTTTCAGCTTTACGCCCGACTCTCTCTCTGCTACTGGTAGCCAAGCAGCGAATGCTTCGAGGACCATGTCGCGGCTGGGTAGGTTTAGATGCCAGACGTAACGGGTGGCGGCGTCGATGAAGGTGATTGTGTAGTTGTATATTACTTGTCCTGGTTCCCGATTGTACAAGATGTCGCTATACACCTTTTCGAGTGGTGCGTACGCGGGTGTGCTCGGGTTGTGATGAGGAGTGAACGGCCGATGTGGTAAGTCGGCTTCGGGGCAGGTAAGACATGTTCCTCGTGCCCGTTGAAGTTCTCTGCCGTCGAGTAGTAGTAACGAGTCCTTGTCAAGGACTCCTGCTCTTATTGTGTTGTTTAACACAGTGTTGCTTGGGTGTCCCATGCGTGCGTGCCAGATGTCTTCGGAGGCGCGGTGTCCGGGTGAGCGTCGATACGCGTCGGAGTTGGAGTAGAAGCTGGCGGTGAAGTTTGCGCTTCTATGGACTTCCCGTTGAGCCGGATTCAGCTGCTGTGCGGGTGTTGGTGGTGCTTCGTCAACGAGGAGTGGTGTCGTTGTTGTTGCTACTGTTGTTGTTCCTGATACTGCCGATGATGTCTCTGCTGCTGCCGATGATGTCTCTGCTGCTGCCGATGTTGTCTCTGCTGCTGCCGATGTTGTCTCTGCTGCTGCCGATGTTGTCTCTGCTGCTGCCGATGTTGTCTCTGCTGCTGCCGATGTTGTCTCTGCTGCTGCCGATGTTGTCTCTGTTGCTGCCGATGTTGTCTCTGCTGCTGCCGAATGTTGTATTGTTACTAACGCACGTGTTCGTTCTGCTTCAGGAATGGTATGTGAATACCAAAAGCCTTCCGGACTGAAGTCGGGGTCGAGATCCGGCGGGTGCGTCCAAGATGTGAAGGTGACGATCCCGTCACTGTCTGCGGTGCCCAGGTCTGGGACGAAATCGAGAACGAAGACATTGTTCTTCAGGACCGCCTTTCCGATGTAGAGGCCGCCCTTCCCGTGGTACAGCTTGAACTCCTGGGTGGTACTGTCGGCTTCCAGATGTATGCCTTTCGCCATCAACTGACTGACGCTCAGTAAGTTGTAGCCAAGTCCTTCTGCTATTAGGACTTTGGACATTTGCAGTATGACATTCGTCTCTCGTGACTGAAGTTGCACTACTCCTTGTCGTCGTGTGCGCAGGTTCTGATTATTGGCGACAGTGATGACGACTTCTCGTTGAAGTTGGTGCTCGCGTTGAACGAAACGTCTTGAAGAGCACATATGTTGTCCGCAGCAACTGTCCAAGAACCATGTATCCTTCCCGGACGGCTCGCTTTGAGCGATGGCGGCGTACGTCGGGTTCGGTTGAAGTGACTCGCGGCGAGGCGTGCTGTTGTCGAGTTGTTCTTCTGGTGAGTAATATGGTGGTGACTCAGTTACGCAGGAGTCACTCAGCCTTGCCATGCAGCTGACGATGTTTCTTGTTCCTTTCGCAGGTTGTCCCGTCGATGTTGTTGAGACTTGTACTGAAGTTGTCGGATTTGCTTGCGTTGAGGCGACTTGACTGCTTGAAGGGCGAAGTTGGCGTTGCGGCGACGTTGACTGTTGTCGATTCGGGCAGTGCGTACGAGGATGCCCTGAAGTCTTGCAGAGGTGGCAGAACGGAGGTACGATTTTCGGTCGATTGTTGTTGTTGTTGTGGCGCCGTTGAGTGTGAAACGCGAATTCGGGCACTGATACCTTTCTCTTGTGTCGTTCTTCTTGCAGGTCCATGTCTTGCTGCTCGGCGTGGATTTCGGCGCAAAGTGCTGCTTCAGAAATTTTCCCGTGGGCTCGTAGTATGGCGCGAGTGGAGCGCCAGTGAGGACCAAGACCGCCGATGACAACCGTGACGAAGGCGTCCTCTGAAATCGATCCTCCACATCGAAGAAGCTTGTCGCGCAGCTCGCGGCAGCGACTGATATACGCCATTCCCTTCTCGCCTGGTTTCATTTCGATTGTTGTCAGCTGCGCCATTAACCGACTTTGGTTTACGCTGTCTGTTGCTTGATACAGGCTCTTCAAGTGATTGTACGCGAGCTCCGCGGAGTTGCCGTAGCCTCGGTAAGACCGTATGTTTTGTTGTTGAGTTGGAGTGATGTTCCTCAGTAGTATCGTGTACGCCATCATCGATTGATAGGTGTACTGCTGCTTCTCATACTGTGTGCCGTTTGTTGGGTATGGCAGGGACCCGTCGAAGAAGCCAAGGATTTGCGCTCCTTCCATCATCAGCTCGAATTCGAACGACCAGGTAAAGAAATCCTTCCCGTCGAAGGGTTTTGTCGTTTGCAGTTTTAGAACGTGCGCGAACTGCGACTGAACTTGTAGTGCGTCCAGCGTTCTCTCTTGTCCTGGTGCAGGTTGTGGTTGTGGCATGAAGCTGACGGAGCCGCGCTGGGGCTCGTACGGAGCGAAGGTAGGTTGTTGTTGTTGATTCCCGCGTGCGTAGGATGAGCCATCGAGACTCATGGGCGTCACGTTGTTGTTGTTGTTGCTGTTGTTTGATTGCGCAGGTGCTCCTTGCTGATGCTGCTCGTAGAAGGACATGAAGGAGAAGAACTTCTCCATCATGCTTGGATCGAAGCCCGCGCCTTGGTTTGCGGGTGTTTCAGTAGACCCAGCTGCCGGTCTCGTTGTTGTGCCTTCCTCTGTCTGTAGGCCAGAGGCAGGAGGTGGAGTAGGAGTAGTACCAGGAGAGCCGTTGGAGGAGCTCCTCTCCTTTCTGGTAGACATGTCTCTTGGTGTATTAGGTGTTAAGGAGAAATAATTTTAACCCTAACCAGCTCTCATACCATGTTGGGCTGAGTGCCCCTTAGGATCTTTGGTAGGGTTAAACTCTGGGTAGAGTGATGTAGTAGCGGAAGCGTTTAAATGAAGTCCTTGAACCACCTTGCGCTGGTATGTGAGGGCAAAGTAAGTTGATTAAAACAAGCAAGTACAAAGGTTTATATAAGAGTACAAAGAATACGAAGAGATATAATTAAACTGTTTTACTGTTGCGGTTCGATACAGTGCGACTCGGGCAACTGCTCAATGTCGAGTCAGTTGTGTGTCCTTGCTGTCGCGCTGCATTTGTCAAGTCAAAGGTCGCTGACCTTTGACTTTCGCGTAACCTCCAGCGGTTACTTCAACCTCCGAGGGTTGACTCGCTGGTGCCTCGATATGCTCTGCTTCGCTTGTGCCTTGGTGTTTTGACACGACAGAGGCGCTTAAGATTGTTTGTTCCCAACAAACAAGGCGGGGCACATGGAGCTGGCATCAACACAGGTCGGCACAATGCACGGAGGTGGTGAGCCTATGCTGTGGGACAGCTGGGCCTGCTTCGCTCCAAGGCATCTCCCCAAAGCGCCTCACTGTGTCAAACTGGGTGCTGTCACCCCGTTCTGTAAAAAACAGGCGGTTAGCTCATGAAGTCGTTTGATCACCCCATGATGTCAAACGGCTGGAACTGCTTCTTGAAGGCATCAGCCATGGCTGCCTCCTCCTCTGCCGTCTCCTTGCACGCCCGCCAGTCGCCCCTCTCCGGCAACCCCACCACCCCCGCCACCACCTGCACATTGCGTCATGCGGTGGGGACATGGAGTGGGGTGCAGGCAGGGGTGTGGGGGGGTTGGAAGGGCATGGGTATGGGGACCCATATATCTTATGGGAGATGCAGAAGGAGCAGGAAGGCAAAACACAAGCACAAGCACAACACAAGCACAGCAAACATCAATCACTAGACCTTACGAACCCTTAATGCCCCGCCTCGCCTCGCTTCCCTCACATGTCCCCCAACCCAGCTCACCTGGCGCAGACCCAGCCTACAAGGAAAGGACCCACGCCTAGCTATCGCTTCCATGCCACACCCACCTCTCTCTCCCCCCACCCCCTCCTCACCTCCCTTCCCAGCTGCATGGGCAGCTTGGCACCGCGGTCGATGGCGTGCACCAGCAGTGACCCATCGGGCAGCTCCACTGTGAGGTACTGGCCCCCTCGGCTCTGCTTCTTCACCTCGTCCATGTGCTGCCCCTCTGGTGAGTGTGTCAGGGAAGATAGGGAAGATAGGGTGGTGCCAGGAGAGGGGAGAGGAGGTGAGGAGGTGTGAGCAAGGGAGGAGCAGAGGAGGTGCAAGGAGGGAGAGACTTGACGGTCCTACGGCATGCACACTTTACCAGCATTCCCAGGTTCAGGTGCATCACCAGGTTCCGGTGGTTTGCCAGGTGGTTTGAAGTTCAGGTGGTTTACCAGGTGGTTTTGGGACGGTGGCGAACTGGAAGTTGTGGGAGGAAGCAGCGGCAGTGAAGGCAGGCAGCACCTGGTCTGCCTTGTCCTGGGGGATGGGCACCACCTGCCATGCATGTACGGTGGGCAGCGGGGGAAGAGGAGTGAGCAGTGGGCAGCGGGGGAAGAGGAGTGAGCAGTGGGCAGCGGGGGAAGAGGAGTGAGCAGTGGGCAGCGGGGGAAGAGGAGTGAGCAGTGGGCAGCGGGGGAAGAGGAGTGAGCAGTGGGCAGCGGGGGAAGAGGAGTGAGCAGTGGGCAGCGGGGGAAGAGGAGTGAGCAGTGGGCAGCGGGGGAAGAGGAGTGAGCAGTGGGCAGCGGGGGAAGAGGAGTGAGCAGTGGGCAGCGGGGGAAGAGGAGTGAGCAGTGGGCAGCGGGGGAAGAGGAGTGAGCAGTGAGGAAGAAGGGGTGCAGGTGACCTGGTTACCAGGTGACCCGGGGTGGGCAGGAAGGGATTGGAGGGCGCATTGGAGGCAGGGGAGGGGCGAAGCCACATCAACAGCAGGCAAGGAGCACCTTGCCCGCCTTTCCCAGGAGGTGGCATCACGTGCAATGAGCAGCTGATCTGCTTTATGTCGTCCAACACGCTCCCACTCACGTTCACATGCGCGTGAGTGGCCGCTCTGAGCTGCAGGAACCGTTCAAACGCCACCACGGTCTGCCCCTGCGCCTCAAAGCACCGCCTCAGCGCGCCCATGTACCGCCACATCTCCGCCAGCGCGTCGGATGGCAGCGAGATGACGCTAGGGAAGTGCTCTATAGGGAGGATGAGCACGTGCCCCGGCACGAGGGGGCCCTTGGGTAACGCCACGTAGCAATGCTCGCCCACCGACACCACCAGATGGGTCTCCACTTTAGGGGACGCCAGACAGAACCAGCATGGCGCTGGGGCGGGCGGCACTACTCCCCCTGCTGCTGCTCCTCCTGTTGCTCCCCCTGGGGGGGGCCCTGCGTGGGGGGCAAGCAGTGCGGCGAGGGAGGCGGGGGTGAGGGGAGGCGGAGTGCCGAGCAGGCCGGGGGAGGTGGAGGGCAGCGAGTGGGCGAAGCGGCAGGTGTCCCCGCGAGTGCAGCTGCCCCGGCGCACAAAGTCAAAGCACACTCCCTTGGGCAGCTCTGATGGGCCACCACTGCTGGGACCCACGCCAGCAGCAGCAGCAACGGCAGCAGCCGTAGCAACAGCAGCAGCAACAGAGCCAGCAGCAGCGTTATCGCCTCCCCCCTGCCCCTCCCCCCCCTCCTCCCCCCACCTCCCCATCCGCCAGCGAGTGTCTGAATCGACAGTCCGTCCCTCTGCTGCAGCTGCCCTTGCTGAAGTGCTCAAAGCATAGGTTGCGAGGCAGTGGTGATCCATCCTCTAGAGTGTGCATGAAGCGACACGCATCGCCCCGCGAACACACCCCCTTCCCCGACAGCTCAAAGCACACCTGAGGCCCCTCCCTGCCCTCCCTGCCCCCCCCTCCTCCCCCTGGTCCCCCGTCCCGCCTCACTCTCTTCTTCCCTGCAGCGTACCGCCAGTACTGCTCCCCATCCCCTGCTCCCCCCACCCCCCGCGCCTCCTCCTCCTCCACCTTTAGCGCCCATGCAGGCTTTACCGCCCCCTCCCCCCCTCCTTTTCCCCCGTCGGAACTTTCCCAGAAGGTGCGCTTGGCAGCTGTCTCTTCGGCCTTCGCCTGGGCGGCAGCGGCAGCAGCCCGGGCGGCACCGTCAGGGGCGGCGAGGCTGCCGGTCCAGATTTGATTCTTGGCGGAAGAGGGGCGGGGGAGGAAGGGGGAGGGGGTGGCATCGGGGGGCTGGGCGGCGAGGTCGGAGAGGGGGAGGGAGGAGGCGGAGCGCAGGGAGAGCGCGTGGAGGAACTTTTGCTTCGCCTTGTTGCCCACGGGGGCTAGACCTATGAACCGCGTCACGGGGCCTGATGCTGATGTGGAGGCGTCTTCTGCTGACGTGGCGGAGTTGATGTAGGGCGGGCGGGCAAAGAAGAAGCCCGCACCACCGGCCACGTGGTAACTGGGCGGCAGAGAGAGAGAGGGAGAGAGAGAGAGGGCTGATGCAGGGTGCAGAATGAATGGATAGAAGAGGCATGCGGGTGGGAGTGACAATGGTGCGAGCAGCTGCACGTATGGGGGCTTGCACGTATGGGGGCTTGCACGTATGGGGGCTTGCACGTATGGGGGCTTGCACGTATGGGGGCTTGCACGTATGGGGGCTTGCACGTATGGGGGCTTGCACGTATGGGGGCTTGCACGTATGGGGGCTTGCACGTATGCGGCTCGATTACACGAGCATGCACATGGGGGCTTGCACGGCACGTTCCCACCCAACAAACAACAACCCCACCCCTTCCACCCCTTCTACCCCTCCGCTCTCCCTTCCCCACTCCTCTCACCGTGGCATGAGCTCCTTGGCCAGCGTGGCAGCAACTGGCGACCCCACACCCGCCCAGTCCACGCTGGCAGGCGCCGACGCTGACGTGGCGGGCGGCGGCGTGGGCAGCAGGGAGGGGTGGGTGAGAGCAGCGACCCCCTTGGGCCACTCGTTGGTGAGCAGCATGTCAATTGCCGCCCCATCCGCCCCCGCATCCACCAGCGCCTCCACTGCCGCCCGTTCCTGCCGCCCTTCCGCCGCCCCCGTGCCGCCCCCCTGCTTCGAGAGGTACGTGGCGGGATCGTATCTGCCGCCCAGATAGGCCACCTTGAGGCCTGTGGGGCGGAACAGGGAGGGAAGGGGCGGGGTGGAAGACAGGTAGGGCGGATTGGATCCAGCAGGCAGGCAGAGAGGGGACGGCTTGATTTGGCCTTTGGAATCAAAGCAGAGAGCACACAGTATGACAACGCACGATCAATGACCGGCCACTGGTTTTGTTTGAAAGTCCACTCACGCACCGCACAGGTCAGCAATGCCTGCTCCGCGCAGCCATTCGATATTGTCACATATCTTCACGCGCCTGTGCGACCTCCACTCCCCCTCCCCCACCTCCTCGTCCTCCTCTTTCTCGCCTCCCCCTGACCCCCCTCCTTGCCTGCCCGCCCCAACCTCCCCCTTGCTCTCCTCCGCTTCCCCTGCTTCACCGACCGCTTTGCTTCCATCCCCCTCCCCCTCCGGTGCCTCTTCCCCTTTCCCTTTCTCCTCCCCCTCACCTTTGTCCTCTCCCTCCCCTTTCTCCTCCCCCTCCCCTTTCCCCCCCTCTTCTACTTCCTCCTTCTGTTCTTCCTTCCCTTCCTCTTTTCCTTTCTCCTCCCCTGCTTCCCCTTCTTTCCGCGTCGCCGCCCCCCCTCCGCCCCGCTCAGCTATCTCCAGCAGTCGCTGCGCGCCGACTCCAATGTCGCCAATCAAGAACGTCGGAAGCGGCGCCTTGGCGCGCCCCGCAATATAATCCTCCAGCTCCGATTGGCCGCCAGCTCCGCCTCCACCGGCGGTAGCGGGATCGGCGGGCGGGAAGAAAGCGCCGACGCAGAAGAGACAGTCGAAAGGACCGTTGGACTTGTTCACCTGTGATTGGTGGAGCGGAGGGCGGGGAGAGAGGGAGACGGTGAAGAGGACAGAGGAAAGGCAAGAGATCACAGGTACAGTGACGAAGAGGTGGATGAGCCCGAGGAGGTTACGCCGAAGAACCTCCGGGAAGACGGGATCGTTGCTCCTCGAATAGGTTTACACGGAGCGGACACGAACTAATTTAATCGCGAGATTTCCCACATGTCAGCACAGCCACGGCGACTCACCGCAGCGGCTCGTTTGAAGAGCAGATGCAGGCGACCTTCCACGTCGCCCGCGAAAAGGTATCGACCGTGAGGCTCGGTCGCCATGGGAGAAGAGTCTTACAATGCACTGGCTGAATTGAATGTGTATGGGCCTAGAGTTCTACTGGATAGCAGGTTGAAGGCGCAAATTACTGGCTGGGTCTGGGAATTTGAGATTTGGGTTGTGCTGTGCACCCCCTACGAATTAGGGTTCTTATGTCGAAGGCACCGAAAGAACAGCGTGTCGAGACATTGGTTCGAATTTAGAAGTCTTGGCTCGGCGACTGGGACACATTTGATTTGTTGTGCTGCGCCCTCAGGCTCGTCAAACCTTTGCAAGCCTCCGAGGCACTCCCAAGGCTCCTCAGAAGCATGAAACTTCCTCGAGCTTTGCTCTAGCAGGGTCCGAGCCACAATCAACCACCAGCAACCTTGAAGTTACACTACTCGAGCCAGCACTCGAAGCTCGGCAGTTCCACTGACCAATAGGAGATCAGTCTTATTGGTCAGTAGGGGCTCGCACGAGGGGCGGCTTGGGTGTGGACTTGAGGCGGGGCGAGCCTGGTGAAATGTGATTGATTGGAGGACCCGCTGGTTTGGGAAGATTGGTGGATGCGAAGAAAGGGAAATCTCGCGCAAGTTGCCGGGCAGAACGAAGAACGAAAGCACCCTCGGTTTTCTCCTCCCTCCCAACCATCCTCTCAATTTCCCCCTGCGCCTCGCCTCGCCTCCATCCTTCCCATCCCAACCAAGTGGATCCCTCTCCGCTATCTCCGCGCCTGATATCTCATACACTCTTTCCTTTCTGCTCGTAGTCGCTATTGTTTTTCTAACGACAGGGAATCTAGCGAGTATCCGAAGCGTACTGGGTCGTGTGGTGCACTGCGGTATTGAGTCGACATTAGATAACCGCGGTGCTTGACATTATCTGAAGCAGGAAAACAGCATTGGCCAGAAATCTCTAGGTTTTATTTTCTAAATATACGAGATCCATTATCAAAATGTGTTCCTGAAGTGTCGTTTAAGTCGCGGCGCCTAGTCGCCTCCGCCAGCCTGCCATGCCGAGCAACAGCAGCAGCGGCGGCGGGGATGGCGACGGGGAATCGGCAACGCCGCAAGTGGTATTGACGCGGCACGGGGTATGGCTCGACGCGACCTTCCCCGACTCCTCCGTGGGCATCGGCGCGAGCTGCGGCGTACCTGGAGGCGCCGCTTTGCGTAGCGGATCTCGCGGCGGCGTGCGACGGAGGGAGGGGGCCGACTACGCGGTGCCGCGTCACGTGGTTGAAGAGACCAAGCGGCAGTTGCGGCCTCTGATTAACGCGCTTAGATTCGTCGAGTCGAGTAACAGGTGCGAACCAGATGCAGCGTGACTTGTGAACGACCGTAGGCTTTGTATCCCTTCCTCGCGCCGGCGCTCTCCGCCCTCCCATTTCTCCTCATTTAAGCTCCTATTTCCGTCGTTTCTTCCGTGCACATTTTTCAGGGTGAATTGCCCTGACGGCGATAACGGGAAGAGCATCGGGCCGCTGCAGATATCGGAGGAGTACCATCGCGACGCGTGGGGCCCGCTGACGGGACCGTGGTCGCAGTGCAGGTGATGCTCGCAGCGCGGCTGTTGGCGGTATTAGCGGCTATTTGTGTTATTAGCGGCTATGTGCGGTATTAGCGGCTATTTGCGGTATTAGCGGCTATTTGCGGTATTAGCGGCTATTTGCGGTATTAGCGGCTATTTGCGGTATTATCGGCTATTTGCGGTATTAGCGACTATTAGCGGCATTAGCGCCTAATGACCGTACCAGCGGCTATTAGCGGTAATAGCCGCTATTGACCGTACGAGCGGTATTTGCGGTATTAGCGGGTATGAGCAGTATTAGCGGAACCGTGGTTCGTTAGTGGCATTAGCTTTCAGTGATGGTTATCAGCGGCTAGCGATCTATACTAATCCGGCTGTTGGATCGCTGTGCATGGCCGCCATTCTTGCACCTTGACGCCTAACTTCCCATCTTCCCTTCCCTCTTCCCATGGCGGCGTGGTGGCATGGCGGAATGGCGGCGTGGCGGCTTGCGGCATGGCGGGTGGCGGCAGGGAGCTGGGGCATGCGGAGGACACGGTGGTGTCGTATTGGATGCGCTACTGCCCGCACGCCATCCGCACGCTCGACTGGGAGCTCCTCGCCAAGGCGCACAACGGTCTGCCATGCCCCGCGCCCCCTTCTTCCCCCGCGTCCTTCCCCCTCCCCCTCTTCCCCTCCTTCACGCCATCCGCACGCTCGACTGGGAGCTCCTCGCTAAGGCGCACAGCGGTCAGCCGCGCTCCCCCTCGCTCCCCTTTCCCCCTCCCCACTCTCCCCTCTCTTCATTCTCCTCCGGCCCTCTCCTTGTCCCGTTCACCAGCTTGTGTCCTTCCCATCCTTCCATTCCCCTCGTCCCCTCCACCCTCTTCCCTTACCCCACTCCATCTCCTCCCAACTCCATCCCCCTACCCCTCCGTTTCCCTCCCATTCCCTCCTCCCACCCCTCCCCCCTGCAAAATATCCCCCCACGGAGCAGGAGGGCCGCGCGGGACGCGCTACAGCAAGACGCAGCGGTATTGGGGGAAGGTGCGCCGCCACCTGCAGCAGCAGCCGCTGCACATTCCGCCCTCCGCCGCCACCATCCCCCCCCAGCGCCCCGTGCACCTTGCGCCCTCCGCGCTCGCAGCTCCTGCAATTCGAGGTGCGTGCGTCGTTCCGCTGGTGGGCTGTTGCGTGGGTGGGCTGTTCTGCGGGTGGGCTGTTGTGCAGGTGGGCGTGTTTTGGGGGCGATGCTCTGTGGGTGCCCGCGTCTGGGTGCTGCTGCATGGTGCGCTGTGCAGCGTGTTCATGCTGTGTGCGGTGTGCAATAGCGGGCGCCCCACAACCCACCTCAACACATACCATCGTGTCTCATCTCCTTGTGTCGCTTTGTGCCTGCAGACCCGTTGCTGTGTGGTAACCAGTCCGTGGTTACATGGTGCGCCGTGGAGCAGCAGAGGCGCAGAGCGCAGGGCGCAGGGGAGGGGGGTGAAGGGGAGTGGGCGATGGGGGTGGATGAGTGGGGGAGAGTGATGATGGTGGCGGAAGGTGGGGGGCTGGAGAAGGGGAAGGGGCATGAGGGGCAGGTGGATGGGAAGGGGCAGAGAGCGCGGGGGCAGTTACACCAGGTGCAGCACACAAGCCGGCATCACAGCAGTCGCCCCGGGAGAAGGAGACCCCGCAGGCTGCTGCTGCCTGTGCGCCTGCTCTCACCCTCCTCCTCACTGCACCGCACTGCACCGTTCGCCCACATCCCCTTCGCGTCTGCTACGTCAGCAGCCATCGCAGCTGCCACGTTGGCGTATCGTCCGTCCTCCCCTCCTTCCTCTCCCAACTATCTATCTACTTCCCCTGCTCTCTTCTTCCCCTCTCCCCGCCCCTCTGCTTCCGCCCACTCCGCCCCTCCGTTCTCCGCCTCACCCCCCCACCGCCCCTCCTCCCCGCCCGTCTCTTCCCCGTCCCCCTTCCCCCGGTCGCTATCCCCCTCCGCATCACCAACGCCAGCGCCAGCAGCGGCGGCGACAGCAGGGGCTGCATGCGCAGCTCGTGGCGCCCCTTCCCCCCTCCTCCTCGCGGACTCCCCTTCTTCCCCCCGCCCTCCCTCCCCCCCGCACGCCACTTGCCAAGGGGACGCGGGGGTGGGAGTAGGGGGAGAAGCAGCGCGCACAGAAGGGGGCGGACGTGCGGAAGCGGGGCTAGAGGGAGATGCGGTGGATCTGGAGTTGCTGCGCGCGCTCATGGGGGGAGACGCGGGGGATGCGGGGGATGGGGGAGATGGGGCGGATGAGGGTCACGAGGGGGTTTGGGACAAGTTGGGAGAGAGAGGCTGGGGTGTTGACATGCTGCTGCATTTGGAGCAAGAAAGGGGGGAGTGGGAGCATGGGGAGGTGGAGGAAGGGCGAGTGCGAGTGGTGGTGGCAGAGGGAAGTGCAGAGGAGGGGAATGAGGAGGAGCAGGAGGAGGGGAGTGAAGGGGAGGGCGACTTGTGGCAGCAGCTGGCGGCGCTTATGGGGGGCGCTGGGGAGAAGCGGGGCTTGGCAGTGGAATTGGATGAGCTGGATGCGGTGCAGAGCGGCGTGGAGGGGCAGCATGCAGCGGAGGCAGAGGGGCAGGAGGGGCAGGAGGAGGTTGGTGGCGGGCTGTCATACAGGGAGATGGCGCAGTGGCTGCTGCAGCACAGCACGGAGGTGATCTGGCAGGGCCAAGGGGAGGGTGAGTGCGAGGAGGAGGGAGAAGTGGAGGGGGGTGATGAGGTAGGTGCAAGGCAGGAGGTTGGGGAGGAAGAGGCGCCAGGGGAGGCATCAGCAGAGGCAGAGGCGGTGGAGGGTTCTCAAGGCAAGGCGAGTGGTTGGGGAGGAGCCGTACTGCTGGAGCAGCCTGTGCCTGATGCTGAGCTGGCAGGTGCTGCTGAGCTCAAAGGTGTTGCTGAGGTGGCAGGTGCTGCTGAGCTGGCAGATGTTGCTGAGCTGGCAGGTGTTGCTGAAGCAGAATCTGGAAGCAGCAGAAGTGGAAGTGGGGGTCGGATGAGCAGTGTGGTGTGGGAGGTCGTGGGCGCATGGGACCGCCTGCTGTGGGACGATGAGCTGAGCAACGTTGCTGTCGCACCATGTGCTGCTGCTGCCGCACCATGTGCTGCTGCTGCCGCCACCTGTGCCGCGCCGAGCGATGCGGCAGAGGCCGCAGCAAGCAGTGCTGTAGTGCCGTTGGGCGGCGGTTCGAACTATGCTGTCGCACGAGAGATGGAGGAGGGGGAGATGGGAGGCAAGGCAAGGGGTGCGAGGAGAGGTGCAGAGGAGGAGGGTGCAGAAGAGAGTGCACTCGTCCTTCACCCCGCCGTCGCCATCACCTCATCCGCTCCTTCACCTCCCTTTTCCCCCTCCACTCCTCCCACTCCCCTCCCTCTCCGCCTCGCCCTCACCCCCACCACCCCACCTCTCTCCATCTCCCCTGCCTCCCCCCTCCCCCTGGAGCGCCTCTCCCCCTCCCCATCCCTCCCCCTGCCCCTCTCCCCCGACCCCCTAGCAGCGGCAGTGCTGCAACTGTGCTCGCTCTGGTCGCACCTCCACACGGACCTCAGAGAGCGATCTCGCACCTTCCACCGCCTCTCCCTCTCCCTCTCCCTCTCCCCCTCCGGTTCCGCCGGTCCCGCCGCTGCCACTGCGAACCACTCTCTCACCAGCAGCACCGCTCTGCACCGCACGCACAGCTGCATGGATGCCTGGTCGCCAGAAGCAGTGTTGGTTGAGGTGGAGAGGCTGCAGAGACAGTGCAAGGCCGCGGAGAGGAGAGGCAGAGGGGGGAGGGTGGACGGGTGTGGGGAGGCAATGGGGGTGACGTTGGATGGGGAGGTGCAGCTGGAGGAAGCAGCCAGGAAGGAGCATGAGCAGCGGGCGGCGGTAATGCGGGCGGTGCGGGCGGCGATGGGGCGTGGGGAGAGGCTGAGGCTGTACGACCAATGGGGGGTTGACAGGTGGCAGCAGAGCCGGCTGCACACGATAGTGTTTCAGCGGCTGTGGAATGAGCCCATGCGGTGCGTGGCTTGAGCTGCTTTCATGTGATGGTGGCGTATGATGGTGGCATGATGGTGGCATGTGATAGTGAGATGTGATGGTTGCTGGATTGGCCTTGATGTGCAAGTGGCTTGAGCTGCTTCTGATCACCTTAGAATGGTCAGTCCAACAGTCGTTGAGCCTTCACCCTCCCACTTCCTCTCCTCCCCTTGCTGCTGGCCTTCCATCCCCCTCTCATGCTCCCCTTTCCCCCTTGCCCTCCTACCTGCTCTCCCCTGCATGCATGCCTCAGGTGTGCGGAGAGTGCAGCACTGGTCGCCAAGTTCCTTCCCTGACATGACATGACGTCACGTCGCATTCCCACCTCCCTCCCAAGTAGACCACAGTGGCTTGTTACCAGGGGGTTTAGTCCCTGTGCTAGGTATCCGGATCTAGAAAACATATGCGTGCTGTAGATAAGGGAAATAAGGCAAACACAATGGCGTTAATACCAGGTGTTTGACTACGCAAATGGCTGATAGTTCGGTTCTAGGCAAAAAAAGCATGATGCACGTTGGGTCAAATTCGCAAGGCACAGAGAGCCCATTTCATGCATTAGCGGCGCTGATGGAGCACGGAGGCATGGATATCAGTGGCCCACAACTCAACTTGCTGCTATGTTAAAAACACCAGTGAGGCACTACACTAGACCTACAAGATAGCCTAGACCTCGGTTTGTGGCACAAGCAGTGCGGCAACCACAACTGTAATCATGCGCTGGTGCATGTTATCGCCTTGCCTTGCCTTGCCTTGCCTTGCCCACTGAAGCAGCTGCAGCGGCAGTAGCAGCAGCAGCAGCCGCGGCGGAGGCGGTGGCAGCAGCAGCAGCAGAAGGCAACGTATCAGAATGGTGGTTAGGACAATGCAAATGAATTATAAACAGTTGAGGCCGGCTGTTAGAAGAAGCGTCCTGGAGGCTGGTGCCCATGCTTGTCTGGGCAAGCCACAACAGTTGGGGTCCCTGCAGTTGAAACGGCTCCAATCGCAGTGGCCAGAGCACCTGCACCTGCACCTCGAGCTCCTCCCTTGGAGCCAGAGTGTTGAGCCGTCTCAAGCAGCAGGGCACCAGCATCCCCAACTCATTCCTTGGAGGAGCAACTTTTGAGACATCTCAAGCAGTCTGCTGGACCTAGAGGAGGCTAGAGCCCGTCTGGAGGAACGTGTGGCACGGGGCTGTACCGCCGCTGCACATACTCCTGCCCTTGCACATCCACCGCCACTTGCCCCCCCATCCCTCCCCCTCCTCCCACCACATCCCCTACCCCCACTGCCCCCTCCACTCCCTCCCCCACCCCATCCCCCTCTCCTCTATCTCTATGCTTCCCCTTCCGCCCCTCCCCCTTCTCCCTCAGCTTCCCACTATGCGACTTCTTCTTCCCCCCTTTCCGCCCACTCCCCCCTCCCTCCCGCCCGGACCCGTCTCTCGACCCCGACCGAGCCACCCCCGCCCCGGCCGGCATCACGCCGCCCGCCTCCACGATCTGATCTGCCATGTGCCCGCCCTCGTCCTCCCTCAATTTAGTCACCTCCACCAAATCATACTCCCGCTGCGCCGGCGACTTCCCCCCTCGCTGCGCAGGAGACCTCCCCCCAGACGACCCTCTAGACCCAGGCCTAGACCCCTTGCTGTGACGCCGCGCAGGGGGGATGGCAGCGGAGAGCTCGGGCTGTTGGGGGTCGGAGGGGGCGGCGGGGGGCTGGGGGGCGGAGGGGTCGGGGATGTCGGCGCGGAAGTGGTTGCGGGAGGGCGGGATGGGCGAGCAGAGCGCCTCGTACACGTTGCGCATGATGCCGCGGTTGTTGGGGTTCGCCTTCTTGTCGTACCGGTATCGGAAGTTCTCATACGTTGTCTGTGGGACAGTGGAGGGAAGGTAGGGAGGAGCGGAAAAAGGAATTGGTTTTTGCAAGAGATTGTGTACCTGTGAGGGAGTAATGAGCCTAACAAAGGTTGGGGTTGGCCGTCTTGTTGTAGCCATACCGGACGTTCTCGCATGTAGTCTGTGGGGCACCCAGGGGGGGTGCGGGTCAGAAAAAGGTTTGGCTGGTGCAGGTGACTGTGCCTGTGAAGGGAAGGGGGCTACAGAAGGTTGGGGTTGGCCTTCTTGCTGTAGCATAGAAAAACAGTTTCGACCTGGATCCACAGGTAACTTCGTCCTAATCTCCTCTAGGCTGAGCTTAGGCTAGTAAGGATTGAATAGGTAAGAAATTGTCATTCAAACCTGAGCGTACGCGCGTTTCGGCGGGTGGCCTTCATCAGCGCTCTCAGAGTTGCAAGAAAAAACTAGTCGTTATCTACTCCCATCTACCGTGCCCAGCACTCAACCTAAAAAACAAGAAATCCAGTGCGGCTCGTCATTGCGACTCGCTAGCTGGTTGTACAACATTTACAATAACAATCCAGCATGCAGGTTGGTGGGACGAATTCAATCCCATCAACCCACGGGGGTGGTGTATCCCCGTTTTTGAAACCTCGCTTTCACCAAGAGGTTGCGTACCCTCTTTGGTAGGCGCCAACACACTAACATCCGTGGGAGGGAAATAAGTTGCAGCGTGTGTTTTTTGAGAATTCTCAAAAAACCCACTCTTGCTGTAGCGGTACCCGCAAGTCCTTTCATGTGGTAGCACACTGGCACACACAGGACGGCAGGTCGCCAGGCGGACAGGATCAGTTTGACTGGTGCAAGAGACATGAGAGGAGACATCACCAATCAACCCTGGCTTTCTAAATCTGGCTTTGGTTCAGTTTTCAGGTTTTTGTTTTGGGCTTGCGGTGGAATGAGCAGCAGGGGAGGCGTACCTGGTTAGTGCTCATGAGGTAGAGGTGGAAGGCGGAGAGCCCCCCCACGAACCACACAGCGAGGAAGGTGTACGCCATGAGCACAGCCGCCATGGGCGCCTGCCCCAGCGCCTGCCACACCGTGCGCGTCTCCCCCCCCGGCTCATACGCATTGTCCATCAACACCTGGCGGAGGCGCAGGCAGAAATGGGTGGGTGCGAGGGTGAGGGCGGGGGAGAGGCCAGGTGTGCGTTGACGGATCGTACTGGGTTGGTGGAGGGGCGGCATCAAAAGCCAAGTCAGCGAGTGCTGGGCAGCAGGAGGGGCGGCAGAGACGGGTACCTTGATGAGGTAGGCGGAGAGCGAGAAGACGTAGATGCAGAGCGCCGTGGTGGAGCACACGAAGAGGAAGAAGAAGCGGTAGTTGCGCTGTGCAGGGGTGGGGACGGAGAATGGGAGGAAAGGAGACGCAAGGAGAGATATGAGATCAGAAATGAACATGCAAACCGAGAGGTGACAAGCCAGATTAACCTGTCACGTGCCCTATAAAGTGCCTGGTGCCAATCCCCTTCTTCCCCTGCCTCTGTACTGGCATGGCTTTCTCCCTCTCCTCCCCTCTCTCCCTGCTCCTGCACGTGAGAACATACTAACTCATTACACGCCCTATGAAGTGTCTGCTGCCAAGTCCCGCTCTCCCCTGCCTCTGCACTGCCGTGGCTTCGCCTTTAGAGGCGCCTCAAAAGTCGTTATGCGCCCACAAGTGTCTGCTGCCAAGTCCCGCTCTCCCCTGCCTCTGCACTGCCGCGGCTTCTCCCCCTCCTCACCTCTCTACCTGCCCCTGCACGTGCCTGTTCCCTCCTCCCCCCTCCCCCTGCCTGTGCACCGTGTGCCTATACCCCTCCCCCCCCCTGGCGCGCACCTTGCCGATGCACTGGCCCACCCACGGGCAGTGGTGGTCGAATCTCTCCACGCAGTTGTTGCAGATGCTGCAGTGCGAACACCGCGGCGGCCTGCCGCGCACAGGGGGGGGGTTTGGCGGGGGACGCGGGGAGCAGGGTGGGGGAGGAGGGGAGAAAGGAGGAGATTCTTGAGAAGATAGAGTTAGCGCAATCCAGGGAACCAGCGGGGACGGATGGGGGGAAGGAAGGTGCGGGTCCATTAATACGTATCTGGCTAAAAGAGGATTTCAAGATGAGGAGAGCACGCGCCGTGCTCACCGGTACAACATGCACGTGTCGCAGTATTTGACCTTCACCGTCTTGCCCTTTATCACCACGTCCTTCGTCCGCGGTAGCCGCCGCCCCCCCGGGCGCGGCGCCTCCACGTCACCGTCGGGCTCGGGGGGCTGCGTGTTGCGCGGGACTATGCCTGGATCGCGGCTGGAGGTGAATAGCAACACGCACAGATCCTGCGCACCGCGGCGTGGGGGAGAGGGGGCAGGGGATGGGGATGGGAGAGGGTGGAAGAGTGCGGAGGGATGCGGGAGGGTGGACGGGGGAGGAGGAATTGAAGGGAATGGCTGCGACAGGGGAAGGCTGTAAGAGGGGGAGGGAAAGGTTGGATGGGAGGGGGAGGGTAATGGGGGATGGGAAGGGGGGGATGGCAGATGAGGGATGGGACAGATGGGATGGGAAGCGAGACGGGACAGGTGGGATGGGAGGGAGGATGGTAGAGGGGGATGGGAGAGGTATTGGAGAGCGGGTGGATGGGAGAGGATGGAGGGGGGATGGAAAGCCGCGACGAGGAAGAAGGCTTGAGGTGGGATGGGTGTTGATGGCAGCTGCATTGAGAGGGAGCCCTACGCGCATTCACTACATGCATGCGAGCTGTTAATGAATCCCGAGCAACAGGTAACACAGGGCTAATGGTAGAGTGGATCGGGGAAGGGGAAATAGGAACTATGAAGGTGGAACGAAGGTGGCAACCAGGAAGGCGATAAGCACACAGTCTGAAGGGTCGGAAGAAGGTGGAGCGACGAGGACGAAGATTGGAAATTGGAAGAAGCATCGGTAATAGAAAGATATAGCGAGCTTGATTGAAATTCCTTCGAGAGTAACGAGATGAAGCCTCAGTGATGGGTAGGACGTAGGGTGGCTACGAGTCACTCGCTACTCACCCATACTACGAGGCAGATTCCAACTATTAGTATCGCGATGCCACCCGGGACTTTATTAATGAACTGAGCGCCAACGAATATGCAGAATAGCGTCCCCGGTATGGATATAAGGGCGATGGATATGAAGAGCGACCGCACGTCCGGACCGAATATGCAGCGACCCCAGCAGAAGAAATTCTGAAAGGGTACGGAGGCAGATCGGGTGTACGAGCAAGAATGATTGGAGTTGTTTCAGCGGCAGGAGAAAGTGGTAGCAATTGCTGCATATACCGAGGAAAAGCGGTAGACCTAGGGCGTCACAAGGAATCTATTAGGAAGACTTACGTTACTGCCTTTCCAAGCCTGATACACCTTCGTCATTGCAAGAATCTATTGACCGTCATTCCTAGCGTTATGAAGCACGAGTAGATTCTAAGAAGCACGAGATTCTTCACTCTTCACATGAGCTAACTACCAGGAACGCGTCGACCTCTGCGACTAGTTAGAGGTCACGCACGGCAATTCATTGAAACCACGCGGAAAGATAGACAGGAGCCGGAGCGAAGCTACGGAATAGGAATAACGACGACGTGTTGTGGTGACAGGCTACTTGGCTGTTTTGGTCGGGAAAGAAAGCTACACACCAAGCAAGTGCACAACGGCAAGCAATTGGGGGATTCAGGACTCAGCAACCACGAGCAAACTGAGGAGCCAAGTCAATGTAGGGTAGCGGAGGATGGCGGGGGAGTTGCTGGGTAGTTGGCGGAAAGGCGGGACGGAACGGGGACAGTGGGATGGAAAGGGAACGTGTCGAGAGTGCCGTGTGGACGAGTTTCGACGACCACTGGTCACCTCGGTTTCGCCGCAATGTGCTTGTCGCCCTGAGGTGATCCGCACCGCAGAGCCTTGGTTCTGCTTGACGTGGCGACGAAAAGGTCGTTGGGAATTGCGACTGAAGGCTTCGCAAACCCGCCAAATTCAACCCAATTGCGGCTGGCGGCAGGCGTGACCTCCCTGGCTCACATGATCGCACGGTAGGCGCACCGATGCAACCAGCTCTGACGAATTTTGGTTTGCATACACCCGCCAACTGACGGGAACGGTAACAGAGGAGACAGGGACAAACAAATACGCGGTAGAGTGCAGCTGGCTGGTGACTTATGTGACAGCCAAGAACTGACACAGCCATATAATAATGAGACACACAACATGAAACTCTGAAGTTGCAACTACCAAACTACCGGTACTGCTGCCTACCAATGCGGAAGATGGAGATTTATATCCTAACCTAACCCATCGTTCATATAACAGGCTGCATTCACCGGGGGCTAACATAGTTCCTCCTTAGTGCAGGCCTCACTGAGGGCAGGGGTACGTTGAACAGGTTGAAGTAACTAATGTATGATTGTGGTTTGGGACCAATCATTTGCTTCGGACAGCTTCTGAATTGTGGGAACCGCTTCAACACCTCGGAGTTGCTCCTCAGCCCATAATCCCCATTCTTAGGGTCCCTGAACCCTGCCTTGTCAATGCTCGTGGCGAAATACCGCATGCGGTTGAGAGCAGGCACGGAGGGGAACGGCGCACAGTTGGGCATGTAGATGACATATTTTGGAGAGCCTGACGGGGTGGCAGAAACTAGCTCTGCGTAGTTTTCAGTGGGCAGCCCGCTGCATCCAGATGTGACCGCGCGGCTGTGAGCAGCATCTGTGCCGTTGTTGCAGTCAATGCCATTGATGCGGTTCTTCCCACAAAAGTTGGTCAGATATGGATAATTCTGCACCAGACAAAGGACATGGCAAGGGGAAAGTGTGGTGAGATAACGGCAAAAAACAGCAGCCAGGAGACGCAAGAGACATGCCAACATCAATGCAATACAGAATCTGGACAAATAGACCAAGTGGGGCTGAGTGAAAAACGCACCCATCGGATCTCGGGCGTCTGGAAGTAGGTTTTGAGGAGGCGGTTCCAGTTGGGGCCGGCGTAGTTGTCACAGTTGTTGAGGTGGTTGTTCTGGCACGAGATGTACCCCACTGAGAACTGCGTCGTGTTGATCATCACCATGCCCAATATCATATTGCTGCAGGCCACAGGGAGCAGAAAAAGACAATGCAGAAAAAAAATCAAGAGAAATCGTATGGAGAGCATACCGTTCTTATGCGAGCAGCGGGAGAACAGCAAAGGACGATAGGCTTCAAGAAATTTGGAAAATCCAACTGACAGCACCATGCATGTGCACCTCCATCCCCAACTCACTTCTTTCCAGAGTTGAGCTTGAGCCCATCAGCTGTCTGGTCGCACACAAGCCCATCCGAGATGACCCCACTGGACACCCAGTCGATGTACAGGCAGTGCCCCCCGCGGTACACATAGTTGCACCGCAGGTAGTTCCCAGGGTTCACCCAGTGCGTGTCAAAGTAAATCCCACTGTTGTCCAGCCGCGTGTTTGCCCCTGTCTCCCCAAAGTCGTGCCGAATCTCATTGTAAGCCACTTTGGTGAGCATGGCATCGCCGACGTTGTTCATTCCATGGCCCATCTGAATCCCAGCGAGGGTAAAGTCGTGCAGGCGGTTATTCATCACGTTCACCCCCACGCCGCCCCACAGGATCATTATCCCCACGCGCGCCCGCTGCGCCTGCTCCCGCCCCTCCCCTCCGGAAAACAGCTCGTTGTTTGTAATCCACACATTGGACCGCTGCAGCGTGGGGCCATGCCCAGAGTACGACACACGGATAGCAGCCGGCCAGTTGGCGGGATTCACAGTGACTCGCATGTTGTCAATTCGCGAGTACGCCGCGCGCATGACGTCAATGCGTCCGAACACCGTGCCCTGTGTGACTTGCACGGCAAAGACGCGGAAGAGGAAGATGGCAGGGCAGGCGTAGCGGCCGATGTAGATGTCTCGCACCTGGTCAATGTTGGGGGAAGAGTAGATCATAGTATCAGAGTCCTTCACGGGGACGACTTTTGAGAGTTCTCAGAAGTGACTCAGATAATGCGGGGCAGGAGTTGCAGCTGGTGTGGACGTGGCGCACCTGGTCGATGTTGGGGAAGCGGCAGATGGTGGTTTCAGCGTCGGTGACGGGGATGTGGAAGTTGATGCCGTGCACGAGCACGTTGTGCGTGTTGAACAGCTCCAACACTGGCGTGCTGTCATGGATGGGAGGAAGGCGGATGGGTGGGGCAGGGATGGCAGGAAAGAATGGAGAGCATAAGAGAGTGAGGATAAGTTGATGCTGTGCGCGAGCACATTGTGCGTGTTGAACAGCTCCAACACTGGCGTGCTGTCATGGATGGGAGGAAGGGGGTGGGTGGGGCAGGGATGGCAGGAGAGAATGGAGAGCATAAGAGAGTGAGGGTAAGTTGATGCCGTGCGCGAGCACATTGTGCGCATTGAACGGCTCCAACACTGGCGTGCTGCACATGCACGGGTGGGGGGAGCGGGGTGGGTATGTTGGTTAGGCAGGGATGGCAGGAAAGGATGCATCAAGAGGAGGGACATGCACGAGGAGGGGATGGTGACTGTCCGGGTGATTGCTGCCTATGCATGATGGGGGGGCGAGTGAGCGCCAGCACAGAGAGGAGGAGACAGTGGCGTCGTGAATCGGTTGGTGCTTGCAGGCCACTCACGCAGTGTTGGGCAGGGAGATGGTGAGCCTGCCGGGGCGCGTGGCGTTGAAGATGGTGCACGAAAAGTTGGCGCCGAACACCAGTCCACGTGTCAGGCGCACGTTGCTCCACAGCAGCATGATCACAAGCGTGTCGTTTGGGAGCGTGGCGCGGCGCAGAATGTCGCGCTCGAACCCCACGTTGATGATGATCGGCGGGTTCGGCACCTTGCATGGGCGCGCGCACGAGTTGGCGGACACGCGCGGCGGGCCTGCACGGAAGGGACGGGGGAGCAGGATGTGATACGACAGGGTGGCAGATGGAGAGTGTCGATAAGGCGGCACATTCGCTGCAGGGATGAGGAAGGCAGCGGGAAGGCAGCGGCGAAAGGGGAGTGGAGGGGAGACTGGGGGGTTTCCGCGAGGGGAGTGACGCAGCCAGCCGCCAGCAGCAGCAGCAGCAAGGACGTGTGAGATCGTACCAGGAAAGTTAGCAGCGGAGGGGTCGTCCGATATGTAATCCATGGTGCGAGCTGTCGTTCCATCGCCGCGTGAAGCGTGGCGAGCGGCACTGATGTCGCCGTCGCCGTCGCCGTCGCCGTCGCCAGAGCTCGTCGCGGAGGCATCGCCGATAGCGACTGCTGGGAGCAGCAGGCATGATGCGATCACCACGCCAGCCAGTAAGGCACGAGACATGCTTCCTGACAGCATGTCGACCGGTCTCCTGACCGGAAATGCTACGACACCGGACGTTCGAGTCAACGTGACGCAAGACATGATGCTCGCGTTGGCTCTGCCAGCAAAAGGATGCGAAGTTAACTCGCTCGTCGCTACTCGTACCTATCAGCGGAATTCAAGGAATCCGCTTGGTGACCTCGCAAGGTACCCAAAATTCAGAACTCAAACCCGTCGGACTGGCTATCATGTTTTGTGGAGCGAATGCTAGCAACGACTCGCTCAGCACCATCCCGCAAAGTGCTCCCACTCCAGGATCCTCAACGCGGCGGCTGCGACGGTTGCCTTGAACGAGTACCGTGTCGGGGCGTCGAGAAGGTGCCATGGCGATGTACTGGTTGGGAGGAGCAAGGGAGCTTCAGCTGAAAGAGTGGCTGAAGTTCAAAAGAGTGCACCGCGATGGACATGGAGACAACTTCAAGGTCGTGAAGTCATGGCAGTCTGTGTCCGCGAAGTCATGGCAGTGGCAGTCATGGCCGCGAGGTCAGCGATTTTCACGAACATTATGGTTACCGTTTACAGATAATGAAAGTGTGTGTCCTCGATATACGGGTACTTCGTTAGTTCTTGCGTAGTGAATATATTTTCTGCTTTCTTTCAGCATAAAGCTTGAATTGCTGGAGCTTGGAATTGATTGGTTGAGCCTTCCAGTCTGATGATGTAGAAAGGAAGCTGCACACGCAGCATCCCAGCCCAGGAAGGTTCAACTGTTTCTTGGGTCGACCTTGAAGTTGTTGATGAAGCGCTCTTCTCTGACCACGATGTCAGCACGACGAATCCAACGTGGACCAGGCTCTGATGACGACAGGATGCTCGTGGAAAAGAGCCAACGTGCCCAACACTGGGTGGTTCGCGTCAAGAATTTGGTGGAAATTCCTCCACGTGGCAGAACTAAGCTCCAGAATCCGAGGCGGCTCCATAATTCCGCTTCGTGTCCGCTTCTCCGCCTCTCTTATCACGCCTTTCCCACCACTACCGCGCGCCCTACTGGATTCGCCGCGGTCGCGGATGATGGTTGTGAGGGCGTTGGGGTGCATCAGCACCCGCCCCTCCGTCCTGCTTCGCGAGCGCCTTCCTGACCTCATCAGTCAGCTCCACTCGTCCACCACTTCTCCGCACCACTCCCCATACCGCCTCCCCCCGTTCCGCTCTTCCACTGGTCAGGTCCGCATCAATCCCTAACACCTCGAGATTGCCGCCGTGGAGCCAATCAGTCCAACTGCCATCATTGTCTATATTTACAAGAAGTCCGTTCCAATTTTACACTTAATCGCTGGTTGCAATTCCTTCAGGGCGTAGAAAGTCCCTTTCCGGCAGTCTAAAGATATATTTATTGCGATTAAGCCATGGACGCCCTCGTCGCCCACTCCCGAATTAGCTTGAACAGCTCGTTTCTCTCCCGTGCAGACGTGTCTGATGCGTCCCTCCTGTCCCGTCAGATTGCCTCCGCGCGACCATCCCTGCCGCCATTGACGCTCCCGAGAAGGCGTCTCTCCCTTCGAGCCTCAGCCGCCAGCAACGGCGCCGCGGTGTCCCCGAACGGCACTGCTCGCCCTCTCAATGGTGCTTCGTTCAACGGCGTCGCTTCACCGGGACGCCTCGAGGGCCCTGCCACTATCCTGTAAGCCCTCTCCCGGGATTCCTTGTCTCGTTCAAGATCAAGAACACGAATCCAGCGTTAGCGGAGTGAAGAACTTGGCCTTTCATCTGACGATTTTCTTGTTCGTGCAGATGGGGAGATGGTCCCATGCCGCTGGTCGAGCCAGAAGCGGCGGAGACAGACAGGGAAGCGCCGAACAGACCGCTGTCGCCGAGATCGCCGGCGCGCAGTGAAATGCCCGGCGTGCGCCGCGTAGAGGAGGCGATCGCCGCCATTCGACGAGGAGAGGTGAGCGCGACGATGGTGTGGCTGGGGGAGAGGGTTCCGGTAGCTGAATGTTGGATCGTGGAAAGGGGAGCAAATGCCGCGTGGTTCGCACTAAGCTATGGAAGCCGAAAGCATTAGCTCTATTCAACCCGAATCATCCACCTGTGCTCACCTGTGCTCGTGAAGAATTGCACTTACATTAGTTGTTTTCCGCGACTGATCGACCCCGTATTTATTTCGTTCGGTGACAATCCTCGCGTCGTCGCAGGTGGTAGTGGTGGTGGACGAAAACGTTCGGGGAGTCGCCGACATTATCATGCCCGCGTCGCTCGCGACGGCGGAGCGCATGGCCTTCATGGTGCGCCACGGCAGCGGCATCGTCTCCGCCGCCGCGTCCCCCGCCGTACTCGACCGACTCGCCATTCCGCCCATGCTGGCGGGCACCGAAAGCGGCGCGAATAACGGTTCCGCGTCCTCCGTGTCGGTGGTGAGTCGACGATTATCCGTCAAAGTAGCGGTCTCAATGTAGCGACTAGCACACAAAACCTGCTCTACCTCATCTTTGCGATCGCCAGATCTCCACAAACAATACCATTTCCCTCCCTCTCCACCCTTTCTCCAGAGCCCTATCTTCCCCGCCTCACTGCTTCCGCGCTTCTTTTCCCTCCCCCTCCCGCTCGCCCTTCCCCTTCCCCTTCCCCCAGGACGTGGCGGTGGGCACCACTACGGGCATCTCCGCCGCGGACAGGGCACGCACGCTCAGGGCCCTCGCGGACGCGCGCTCGCTGCCCGCGGACTTCTGCCGCCCGGGCCACGTCTTTCCGCTGCGCGCACATCCAGGCGGAGTGCTGCGCCAAGCCACGCGCGTGGAGGCTGCGGCGGACATGGCGGTGCTGGCGGGGCTGTCGCCTGTGACAGCTGTCACGGAGCTGCTCAATGATGACGGCTCGCTGCCAGATGCCGCCCAGACGCAGCAGTTCGCCGCCCAGAACGCGCTCACGCTGATCTCCATCCAGGACATCGTCAGGTGAGGCCTGTCACATGCACTGTCATGCCATGCCTTGCATTCGCACATGTATGCCATGCGTTTCCTTGCCACACCTACCATGTCCTCATGCTCCCCCGCCCATTCTTCCGCCACCCATTCCCTTCTCTCCCCCACACAGGCACCGGCGGCTGGTGGAGCGTACAGTGAGGCGCACAGCAGTGGCGCGGCTGCCCACGGAGTGGGGCACGTTTGACATTGTGAGCTACATGAGCGACGTTGATGGCATCGAGCACGTGGCCATGGTCAAGGTGTGCACCACCCTCCCATTCCACCCTCTCTCCATTACAATGCCAAGCGGATGCAATGATCCATGTGCGCCCTAGTAGTGCTGCACAAGTGACACATCTCCGCCTCTCTCTGCTCGTGGCAACTGCTGCTGATTGGTTTGGCTAAACCCGCATCTCCTCTTGTTCCTCCCTCTCTCAATTCCACAGGGCGATATATCATCAGGCGAGGATGTGATGGTGCGAGTGCACAGCGAGTGCCTCACGGGTGATATTTTCGCCTCCGCCCGCTGCGACTGTGGGCCCCAGCTGCAGCAAGCACTGCGCCGCATTGAGGCCAAGGGCCGCGGCGTGTGCATCTACCTTCGGGGACAGGAGGGTCGCGGGATAGGCCTGGGGCACAAGCTGCAGGCGTACAATCTGCAGGACATGGGGCGGGATACTGTGCAGGCGAATCTGGACCTGGGCATGCCGGCGGATGCCAGAGAGTACAGTGCAGCGGCGCACATTCTGAGGGATCTGGGCGTGCGGTCGCTGCAGCTGATGACAAACAACCCCGCGAAGCTGACGGCGATAAGTGAATTAGGGTTTGCTGTCAACGGACGAGTGCCGGTGCTGTGCCCCATCAATATGGTGAGTCTGCCATGACATCTGACCCTCAGCCCTCTTCCTGAACCTCACTGCCCTGCCCCACTTCTTTTCCCTCGAGCTTCTTTTGCTGCACCCGCCATGCTCATCGCTCCCCTCGTGCCCAATTTATCCCACACTCACCGTGTATCTGTGCTCCATGTGTCTCGCTTGTGTGGCAGGAGAACCGGAGATATCTGGAGACAAAGCGCGCCAAGATGGGTCACCTGTATGATGCATCACTGGCACAGCCCATCAGTGGCGGGTGGGAGGCACGGGGGGAGAATGCCGAGGAGGTGGGTGGAAGATGCTGAGAGAAGAGTGTAGCTGGGATAGGGGTGAAGGCTTAGTAATCTTAGGTGTAGGTCAAGCTGCTCTCTTCATTATTATTCTCCTGTTGGTTCAGGAAAGCCGTGATTGTGCATATGCTTGTCATTCATGCATTGCCGAAAGAGCAAGTTAGCCAGCCCAAGCGTACCGAATGGTATGTCTCCACCACTCTTCCTGAGCTACATGACTGCTGCAGTCAGGACTCAGAACAAGAAGATTCTGTCCAAACACCTTTCGAACACCAAAATACTTACGGTACCTTAGCTTAGTACCACATGGCTGCCAAGCAGGACCTCAGAAGTCAGGATATTTACCCTGAATTCCTGAAGTTTGACCCACGTTTTTTATCATGACCCTGATGCATCAGCCTTTGTTTTAACTGCCCTTATATTTCAGTGTTTTTTTATTTCGAGCTCTGATTTTTCAGTGTTTATATCGAGTACGACCCCTGAATCTGAAATTCCCGTCTTGCCTTTTCGCCGTGATTGGTGCCGTGACTGCTACCTATGCAGCCAACCACAGTACCTACAGTGCATTTTTGCCATGATTGAGCCCATGAGCGATAAAGATTGCCCAAATTCCTCGCTAAGCAAAGTCCCTTGACGAGTACGGGGATAACAATCAACGTAACAGTGAATAACAACACTGACTGTTCAGCCTTTATATTTTTTGTACACTGAAAAATCAGTGTTTTCAACACGACGACACTGAAAATCAGCATCGGCCTTCAAGGGACACTGAGCGATCAGCGTGCCCCAAAACGAATCTGAGGGCATGCTGCCAAGCGTTTAGTCACAAAGTTGCAACTTTTAGGTATTTCTTTGTGCCGTATGTTTAAAGCCAAATGTACACATTCAACTTGGCTGACTATTCAAGATGTTAACATTGGGGTTGTGTTCTTCTCAAAATGAGTTGAGCAGGACATAACCATTGCCAAACCACGCTAGAGATATACCCTCCACTAAAATTTGTGTGCTTCCACTCCTCTGCAATGAGTGATGTGTAGTACAATACACTGCAGCTAGTTATTACACATGTTGCGGTCAGCCTACCACTCCCAGATCTGGCAGCTGCTGCTGCTTACGGCAAAAGCACGGGCCAGAGTAGTAACCTCAGCACCCAAGTGCCCAAACAGTCCCTCTCTTCACCATGTCATTCCTGCTCCCACCAATGCAGTCTCTCGGACAGCATGCAAGCCTTTCTGCCACTCCTACCCACTCCAGCAACTCCATCTCACTCCAATGCTGTATTCCACACCTTGTTCCCATGTCAATACTTCCCTAGAGCACGCTACGCTACGATCTGGCCACTGCCTGCTGCAACATCACCCATGTCAAGCATCTGTCAGGGCGGTTATCCACCCCTGCTCCAATGCATGCGTCACCTCCAATCCGCTTCTCCCCACCCTCACTCCACCTGCACCACTCTTCCTGTCTCCCAAACCCACCCTCTCTGCCGCACCAACCTCCAACCCCTTTTTATCCCTGCATACCCCCCCTGAGCCCCCGCACCCGCAACCCTCACCCCACCATCCCCATCCCCCCCCCTCCCACACCCCACTTCCCCCTCACGAGTGAATGGGCTTCCCATGGGCGGCCAAAGTAGCCTCTTTCACAGCTTCCGTCAGCGTGGGGTGTGCATGGCACGTGCGGGCTAAATCCAGCGTCGTGGCACCATGCTCCATGGCCAAGACACACTCCATGATCAGCTCTCCCGCGCTCGGCCCCAGTATATGCGCGCCCAGCACTAGATCCGTCTCCTTATCCGCTAGAATCTTCACAAACCCCTCCACCTCCCCCATCGCCCGCGCCCGGCTGTTCGCTTTAAAGGGGAATTTACCCACCGTGTACTCCATCCCCGTCGCCTGCAGCTCCTCCTCGGTCATACCCAGCATCGCCACTTCCGGGTGCGTGTAAATAATCCCGGGCACCGTCGCATAATTCACCTGCCCGTGCCCGTTCATGATGTTTTCCACACACGCAATTGCATCCTCCTCCGCCTTATGCGCCAGCATGGGTCCCGGAATAACATCCCCGATAGCATACACAGTAGGCCGCGTGCTCCTGAAATGGCTATCCACGAATATCCGTCCGTTCATGTCTCGTTTCACCCCCACCTCATCTAACCCTAGCCCGTTCGTGCAAGGCACGCGCCCTGCCGCCACCATCACCACGTCAGCGTGAACCTCCCGCGTCTCGCCCTCTCCTTTCGCCGGCGCTACCTGCAGTACCACGCCTTCCTCCGAAGCGTCCCCACGCACCACCTTGGTTCCCAGGAGGAATTTCAGCCCTTGGGATTCGAGAATCTGGTGGTACGCCTGCCGAATCTCGTTATCCATGTACCCGCCAATGCCATCCGCGAATTCCAGTATAGTCACGTCTGCGCCCAGGCGACTCCATACGGACCCCATTTCGAGTCCGATCACCCCGCCGCCCACCACCAGCATCTTTTCCGGAACCTTCTCAAGGCACATCGCGCCAGTCGACGAAACGATTTTTTTCTCGTCGATCGGGACCCCAGGCACCTGCCGAATGTCCGACCCCGTCGCGATGATGATATTCTTCGCCGAGAGGACTTTTTTCGCCTGCCCGACCTGCCCGTGCGCGTCTAACAGGCTCACGGTGACCTCGTGCGTGCCTGTGATGCGGCCCGCGCCCTTGACGTAGTTAACTCGGTGCTGCTCGAACATGCGCTCGACGCCCGACGTCAGGCTTTCTATGGCGTCCGCTTTAAGCGCCATCATCGCCGCTAGATCTACCGACACGCCGTCCACCCGCACGCCGTGCTGCGCTAAAGAGTGCTTCGCTTCGTAGAACTTGCGTGAGGACTCCAACAGGGACTGGGGGGAAGTGGGGGAAAAGGCGGGAAGAGGGGGTTAGAGGGGCGTGTGTGGGGGCAGCAACGGAGCTGGGGCGAGCGGGGTGTGGGGGGAGCGGAGGAGTGCTGGTTGGTTGTTGTGGGTTCCGTTACGGTTTCTTCTAACAGATACTTTACGTGCATGTATTGAATCGAGTGTGAGCAGATGTGTTGAATTATGTGCGAGCACTCACGTGATCTACGTTCATACCCAATGCTGGTCAACGTTCCCCGCACAAAAACCCCTTTAACCGCTCTCAAAGCACTAACAACCAACACCGAGACACACCTTAGAGGGGATGCATCCGACGTTGAAGCACGTGCCTCCGAGCCGCCCGCGTTTGTCAACGCACGTCACCTTCAGCCCCACTTGCGCCGCGCGGATCGCCGCTGCGTACCCGCCGGGCCCGCCGCCGATGATCACCACGTCATTCTCCTCGCGACCGCCATCGCCGGCACGATCCGACGAATACCACCGCTGCGCGCCAAACCAGGAAGATCCGGCTAGATTTGCCGCGCTTTGCGGCGGTTGTGTGCGGCAGCAGGAAGAGATACTATCAACAAGGCTGGGAGGAGACGAAACCCTAAAAAGTGTGTCGACGAGCGGCAACCCTCGCCTGCGTGCAGCTCTGCAGGCTAAACGGGAATACATGGCGCGCAGCCAGCGTGTCGGGAATGCTGGCGGGACTGGGGTAAGTGGAGAGAGAAATTTCGCTGCTGGCGATCAAGATAGGTGAAGGCTCTGAAATAGGCCTCACTTAAGAGAGATCCTGGCGAGAGAAAACACCCCGCGACGTGCTAGGCTGCTAGAAGAGGACACAGATGGACGAGCGAATGGTGCTGGGAAATAATAATAAACGCCCACGGAAGAGGAAAATAAGGTAGAAACGCATCAGGATTCAGGTGACAGGGAAGTGTGCGGCTGAAGCGGCCTTGAGATTGTCGACAGATGGAAGAAAGATTCGACATGACGGAGGAAGGGCTGGAATGACGCGGACGAGGGGGAGCACCGACGGCCATGTCACGCTGATGCGGTCGCGAGGCGGATTGACAGGGACCACTCTGCCACGTAGGTCCCTCCAAGATACTATCTCTAAGGTTGTCGGGACCAAATCGTACGGTATTCCATTTTTACATTGAATTTATGATACACCTGTGTATGCTAGTCTGAAAATCACAGATGAGATGAGATGAGATACAGATGGACACAATACTAGGGTCACCGATAGATACGAAACATATCGGTGATCTCACAGTTCCATTCTCTCCTACCACATGCCATTGCCTCGCACCAAGCTCTCTCAGGCCCCCAACTCCAACAATTTGTTTTCCCAACTTTTGTCCCTCAACTTCCCCTTTCATGCACCTCCACATCCTCACCTCCTTCAACACTAATATCAATCTCTCCATATTCCCCCTCTTCCCCTTCCTCTTCCTCCGCTCCTTCTCTTCTCTCCTCAACCGCTCTTTCTCTTCCCACCCTAACTCCTTCCCCCGGTTCTTCCTCCCCTCCTCCACTCCCCATCGTCCCATTCCCCGTCAAACCATCAGCCACCATCATTGCACGCGGAACTGCAACATTCTGAGTGACCGTCCCCGGCACCCTAACTGTCTCATGATTGGCCGGGGTAAAGCATGGAATGCCCATCTGGTCGGCAATTTTGTCCCGTAGCTGCGCCATCTTGGCACGCTCGCCATGCACCAGGATGACGTGGCGCGGCGCCAGGTGGCGGATAAGGTCGGTGATGCCCTTGGCATCGGTGTGTGGGGAGAATGAGAGCACATGCACCTGCAGCAGCGGAGGGATCATTGCGGGGAAGAGGAAAAAGATATGGGTGTGCCCTTGGTGATGCAAATGCTTGCTATGCACATCCTATGCTTCCATGAAGGAGAATGGGCCTTCATGTGCCTCTTTGCCAAATGCTGCTACTGCTGCATGACTCATGTCATGACATCCTAAATTTCTTCACCTGACAGTTGACCGCCACTTGCGTGCTCTGGTCGACGGCTACCCTCCCTCCGCCTCCCCCTCCCCCTTCTCTTCCTCCATCCCCTCCATCCCCACCCCCACCCCCGCTAGCAGCAGCAGCATTGGTGGAGGCCATGGCCATGATCTTGCCGCCCACCGTGCCGGCCATGCAGAACCTAGGCGGCAGAGGGGGAGCCGCGGGCGGCAGAAGGGAGGGGGGAGAGAGGAGCGAGAAGGTAAACACTTTCCACTGAGGTGGTGAGGCTGCAGCGGCCTCCACTGAGACGCATCTTGCAGATACAGCACCTAGAGAGTATGGATAGCATTGTACACATGTCCCCGTGGAATTCTGAGTCGAGTCATTTATACCTCAGTGGGCCAAGAAGAAATACCCGAGATGGTAGTATGAACACCCACCCTGGCAGCACGAGCAGGTTGCGGGGGTGTGGCGCCCAGGCCTTGAAGGCCTGAAGGGAGAGACCCCCTGAGAGCATGCCGGGCGTGGCGAACAACACCATGGGTGACGGGGCGTCCAGTAGGGCACGGTCGAATGGCCGCACTGGGGAGATGGGGGGAAGTGGGAGTGGGGAGGAGGGGGAAGAAGAGGGAGAAAGAAGTGGTTGAGGCTCCTTGAGAGCACCCTGGGCGAGGGGGCGTCCAGTAGGGCGCAGATGAATGGCGGCACTGGGGAGCAAAGAGGGACGTGTGAAAGAGAGATGGAACGGCCGGAGGGGAGGGAGGAGGGGGAAACTGGGCGTTCTGGGCGAAGAAACAGCAGGTATGCACAGTGCTTTTATTCTGTGCTGGAGCATGTAGCGGGATGTGTGCTGGAGCATGTAGCGGGATGTGTGCTGGAGCATGTAGCGGGATGTGTGCTGGAGCATGTAGCGGGATGTGTGCTGGAGCATGTAGCGGGATGTGTGCTGGAGCATGTAGCGGGATGTGTGCTGGAGCATGTAGCGGGATGTGTGCTGGAGCATGTAGCGGGATGTGTGCTTTGTGAAGCTGATTGCGATGCACGCAATGACAACACCGGCAAGTGTCCCATTGGAGCAGGCACACCCATGCATGGCATGGCGTCGTCAGGCTTGGCATGGCGTCGTCAGGCTTGGCATGGCGTGGCATGGTATGGCATGGCCTGGCACGGCGTGGGATGGTAAATGGTATGGCATGGCATGGCATGGCGTGGCATGGTATGGTATCGTATGGCATGGCGTGACATGGCATGCATGGCGTGATGGCACGTATGTACCATGGCGGCAGGCAACCCCATATAGCCTGGCATGGTATGGTATGGCATGTATGGCATGTACCATGGCGGCAGGCAACCCAGGCAACCCCATATGGCCTGGCATGGTATGGTATGCATGGTGCGGCATGCATGTACCATGGCGGCATGTACCATGGCGGAAGTCAAAGATGTTGCGGTTGGCATGGGCTGACTGGATGTGTTGATTGGTCCACGTCAGCAGAGTCTTGTAGAACACCGTGGCCTGGGAGGTCAGGCCTGGGAGGGGGAGAGATGAAGAGAGGAAGTGAGGAGAGGGGAAAGGGCAGGCAAGGCGAGGCCTCGCACTGACAGCATGGCTTTTTTCAAGCAACCTACTTACAGCATACACAAAGGACTGCACCATACCATACATTGGTACATATACTGCTGACACACAAAACTCCCTTGGTGCGAAACAGGTCAGTGGAAACACGAGCACACACAGCTTCTGCGTCCTTCCCACCAAGGGCAATCAATCCCAAACACACCAGCACTGACGTAGATGGGCACATCGAGCCCCATGCGGTGCCAGTACTCGCCCAGCAACACACACAACTCCTGTGCTCGCCCCATGGCGAACAAACACTGAAATGAGCACCTTGGACCCCCCCATCGCCCCATCCCCTCCTATCACGCGACCAAGGGCAAATGCACACAGGGAAGTGGCAAAAATACACACCAGCACTGAGGTAGATGGGGAAAGTGAGGCCCATGCGGTGCCAGTACTCGTCCAGCAACACACACAGCTCCTGCGCTCGCCCCATGGCGAACACAGGGATGAGCACCTTGCCCCCTGCTGCCACACACGCGTGCACGCGTGAGAGGAAGTCTGCCTCTCGACTCCGCCGGGACTCCCTGATGGTTGTTGCGTAGGTGGACCTGGATGGGAGAAAGAGGTGGGGGTAGAGGAAAGAGTGGAGAAGAAGGAGGGATGAGCACCTTGCCCCCCTGCAGCCACACACGTGTGCACGCGTGAGAGGAAGTCTGCTTCTCGGCTCCTACGGGACTCACCGATGGTCGTGGCATAGGTGGACCTGGGGGGGGGAGGAGGGGGAAGGAGAGAATGGGAAAGAAAGGAGGGGAGGGAGAAAAGGTTGAACTTTAAGGCCAACCACGCATGCGCGCGCAAGAGGAAGTCTGCTTCTCGGCTCCGGAGGCACTCAGGGATGGTCGTGGTATAGGTGGACCTGGGGGGAGAGGGAGAGGGGGGAGGGGGGAAGTGGGGACTGGGTTTGTGTTTCTTGTTGACTGGGTGAAGCATGCTGAAGTACCGCTTCAGCACTTCCCTGCCCTGCTCAAGGCAGTGCTGTGCCGTGCAGGGAAAAGGATGACGCTCATATGGCATGGCACAGCAAGTCACAGCATGGCATGGTATGGAATGGCATGGCATGGTGGCATGGCGGTATGGACACATGGAGGGGTGCTCACTCGGAGATCATGAGGTCGGGTCGAAGGCGAGGATCCACCCTGGCTGCTCCCAGGTGCCTGTCAGGTGCCATGTTGAAATCACCTGAGGGGTGCCATGATTAAACCACCTGAGGGGAGCTATGTTAAAATTGCTTGAAAACGATTTGCAGAACCCGCACCAGAAGAGTGTAACCACCATGGGAATGGGCTTGCGGCTTGCCAACATGGGGCCATGGACACCCAGAATGCAATGGCCTGAGTCCTGACCACACACTGCAGGCCTCCCTTCACGTGAGATGAAGTGCACATTGCCTCATAACAGATGGTCTCTAATCACGAGGAAGCCCTGTTCATCTTGGAACGAGTGTGGGCAGGGCAGGAGGAATGTGTGCAGCGCAGGATGGGTGTGTGTAGTGCCAGGACGGCAGGAGGCATGGTGTAGTGCAGAGGCGTGAATACCTGCTATGCTTGCACGGTGGAGTGCAGGCGCTCACCTGTGTAGAGCACGGACGCGCCGTTGCTCGCTTGCACGTGGAACATGGCCGCTCCCAGGACCTGGTGGCGTGGGAGGCGGGTGACAGACTGAACATGGTCGCCTGCTGTATATGGCATTAGACAGTGCATGCCTGTGTGCGTGGGAGAGGAGTGGCCGCGTGATTGAAGGCAGTATGTGCCGTGTGGCATGGCACCAACGGCGCCGCACATGCTGCCACACTTGTACTCACGCTTCCATGCCACACTATGCTATGCCATGCTTCATGCATGCCACACCACGCCATGCCACACCACGCCATGTTATGCCATACCATGGCCCACGATTGAGTGAACTGACATGGCCGGCATAGTAGGGAGTGATGGTGATGTGCTCGTTCACTTGAATGGTCTGATGGATGTCTACCGGGATGGCTGCATAGTACGCGCACAGGGGCGCACAGGGGCGCACAGGGGCGCACAGGGGCGCACAGGGGCGCACAGGAAAGGGAGCACGCGAGAAAAACAAAGAACAAAAAAACACCAATCGACAGGAAAATGCAGGGTGAGACTTATATGTGTTGGCTGGTGGGGTATTAACCCCCTCACTCCCTCTCCCCCCATTTCCTCCCCCTCTCACACCCTGCTCTCCCCCCTCTCACCTCGCCCCACTACTCTCCCTTCTCCAGTGCGGATATCCGCACTGGAGAACAGCCCCTCCTCGCCCTCGCCCCTGCGCTCCACCACCCTCCACGCACCTCCACGCCCCTCACTCTTCCCCGCCCCTTCCCCTGCCTCTTTCCCTCTAATCTCCCTCACCTCGGCCCACGGCCGCAGTGATATCCGCACTGGAGAACAGCCCCTCCTCGCCCTCGCCCCTCCTCTCCACTGCCACGCGCCGATAGTCCTCCAGCATCAGGGGTGCCAACGCCTTGGTGGGGTACTGGGAAGTGGGGGCCGGGTAGCAACAGGTGGGACAGAGTGAAGGAGGCAATGGGGCAGCAGAAAAGTCAGCAGCAGCCCCTGCGCTCCACCGCACACGCCGATAGTCCTCCAGCATCTGGGGGGCGAGGGCCTTGGTGGGGTACTGGGTGGGGGAGGGGAGGAGGGAAGCGAGGGTTCACGAGAGTGTTGGACAATGAAGAGACGCACTCCCACAGGCGATCCAACATGACACCGGGAATGGCTTGGGGACAGGAAGAGAGGAGCATGAGCACTAGCGCTTACAGGTACACATTTCACCGCTTACAGGTACACATTTCATCGCTTACATGTACTCATTTCACATTTCACATTTCACATTTCACATTTCACATTTCACAGCTCACAGCTCACGGCTCACAAGGCAGTTGCAAGCAATGTAAACGGTACGTATGGTGGAAGGTTGAGTAGAGAGGATTGCGGAGCAAGAGCAGAGAGGAAGAGCACTGACCGTCATGTAAACGGGCCCCTGGTAGCCGCACACTTGCGTGAAATACGGCAGCGCTCCGCAGTGGTCCAGATGACTGCTCGCGGGGGGGCGGTGCAGGGAGAGAGTGGGGACGGGAATTGGTGTGGTACGGGGCGGTTGTGGGCCACACAGGAGTCAGTTTTGAGAATCCGCACAAGTGACCCTGGAAGAAGTTTACTTGGGTTTAGGGTTGGGTTGGGAAGCGTGAGCGAGACGGACCGAAGCGAGCCTGAGAGACATGGGTGATGCTGCAGGAGGGATGCTGGCCTGGCAGTGATGAATGGATGAATGGAAGCCGCTAGAAGATCGTAGAAGCATGGAAAAGCGGGAAGGGAGGAGAGGGAGGCACGCACAAGTGGGTGACGATGCCACAATCCATGATGCCCGTGTTGTCCACCGCAATCACTCGCCCTTGCCCAGATCCAGACCCCAGACCCCAACCCCAGACCCCAGCCCATGACCATGAAGCGGGAAGGAGGAAAAGAGGTGCGCACAAGTGGGTGACGATGACACAATCAATGATCCCCGTGTAGTCCACATGCTCTCCTTCATGCCTCTGCCACTGCTGCTGCCCGTGGCTGAACGCGCGGAGGCGGGGGAAGGCGGGGAAGCGGCGCGCATCCTGGTAGCCCATGTGCATGCCACAGTCGAACATCACCGCCCTGCCGCCCACCAGCACCACCACACAGCTCTTCCCCACATCCTGCCCCGCGCCTGGTGGCACAGTGCGGAAACACAGGCACAAGCAACACAAGGAGGAATGGCACCAGGAAGATCAGTGCTGCAGCGGTGGCTGAGGGGCGGAGAAGGCAAAGCAGAGAAAAACAATTGTGGTGGGGAGGTGAGAAGAGTGGAAACGGAGAGTGAAGGCTGGCTTGCTGTGGCCACTGGGTGACTGACCGAGTGGAAGGCACGTGATTTCTGCCTTGTCCTCCCCACCGCCACTAGTGGTACCAGCAGCAGCAGCAGCCCCGCCAGCAGCAAAACTGCCGCTCCTACCTCCGCCTCCTCCCTTTCCGCGACCTCCGCCTCTCCTTCCGCCTCCCCCCCAGCCCCGGCCACCATGCTCCCACCTGCCGCCTCTCCCCTTTCCCTCCACGCCCTCCCCTCTTCCCCATCCTTCTTCTCTACCCCAACCTCCCCCTCTTCCCCCATCTACTCCACTCCTCCCCCGCGCACCTCCCCCGAGCCCGCTCCCCCATTCCGCCCCTCCCCCAACCCCCGCCCCCTCCCCTGCCTCACCCCCCACCCCCCTTCCCCATTCGCCTCTTCCGCCACCGCGTCCGCCCTCCGCCTCCCCCGCGCCTCTCCCCCATTCGCCCCCTCCCTTGCGCTTCTTCCTGCCATGCCGCCCCATGCCGTCGCAACGCTGCCACGTGTCACCCTAATATGCGCCCCCCCTCGCAGCCCCCCGTCATAAGCACACGGATTCCGTTTCCGCCTCGCGCGTTTGAATTCCGAATGCGACCGGTGCCCAATTTGGCCCTCCTCCTCCCCACTCCGTCCCCCGGCCCCTCGTCGTGCCGATTCCCCTTCTTGCGCGGACGTCTGCGCTTATGGGCGATGGGCGGAACGAGCGGCCAACTGGGGAACCAGCGGTGGGGCGCGGAAACGATTGCGGGCGCAGGGTTTGGCGGAGTGGGGGTTTTGAAGCTCGGATGAGGTGCGGGTGATGGATTCGACCTTTGCGTGGTGATACGAATATGGGGCGCAAAAAATGAGCAATCGTAGAGGATAGGGTTAACGTGAAAAGAGGAAAAAGGGGCAAAAAGGGGCAAAAAGGGGCAAAAAGGGGCAAAAAGGGGCAAAAAGGGGCAAAAAGGGGCAAAAAGGGGCAAAAAGGGGCAAAAAGGGGCAAAAAGGGGCAAAAAGGGGCAAAAAGGGGCAAAAAGGGGCAAAAAGGGGCAAAAAGGGGCAAAAAGGGACAAAGGTCAGCATGCCACGCCGATTGTGGGGATCGAACCCACGGCCACGTGGTTAAAAGCCACGCGCTCTACCACTGAGCTAAATCGGCTGTGATGAGAGCTGCAAGTAGTAAATTCATTACTGTTTTGCTGTCCCGCCTTCGATTACTCCCAGGCCCATCATATGTCAACACGCATTCTCACGACAGTTGAGCCATGCAACGATCGACGCGCTTCGCCCCTGCGCGACTCGCGAGTCCTCGTCTCCTCCACCCAGCAATGGCCGCTGAAGCCCCTTCCTCGCGCCCCGCTCCCCCCCCTCCACCATCGACCGTACCTCTCGCTCCCCTCGTCTTGTGCCCCACCCTCTCCACCACCAACCGTCGTCGCCGTTCTCTTGTTTCTCGGCTGCTCGCTCTGCTCCTTTGCTCCCGTGATTCTCTCGAATTCGCCACTCCTTCGCTTCATTTTCTCGAATTCGCCCCTGCCTCACCTCAACCTACACTCGTCCCGCCGTGAATAACGCCGTGAAACGCACTTCATCGTGACCCATGGCGCTGCTATCGGCCCCTCTCACCGCCACCCGTGGCTACGTGCCGTCTGTGGCCCAGCCACTCCCCGCCGCCCGTGCGCGCACCCTCGCCGCATGCGCGCTCCCCTCTTCCGCGCGTCCCCTCCCCGTGAACCGTGCAACACGTCGCTCGTACGCGTTAACGGCGCGCATGCATGGGCGTGGGGGCTGGCTGAGGGGATGGCGCCGTGCGTCTGCTTCTGATGACGACAGTGCCAAAGATACAGCTGATATGGCACGCAGTGAGGATTACACGCCTCAATCTGACGTGGATGATGTTTCTGATGACGTGGCGGAGGCGTCGGCGGCAGCGGCTGAGCTGGCAGCTGAGATGGCGGGCGAGGCTGCGGCTCAGGCCGCCAGCGTGTATGCCGCCACGGCTGCTGCTGCGGGGATGGAGGAGGAGGAGGACGTGGGGGGTGAGAAGGACAGGAAAGCGGAGGGCGATAAGGGGGCGGTGTCAGCTGCAGTGTCTGCTGTTGGCGGTGCTGCTTCCAGTGGGAAAAGGGAGGGTCAGAAGCAGGAGCAGCAGCCGCCCAGTCGTCCCCCGCCACGTCAGCCGCAGGCCTCCAGCGCGCCAGCTGTGACGGGCCTGCGGCGCACGGTGTGGGGGCAGGAAGGCGTGGAGCCACAGTACCCCCCGTTACAGGAACATCTCACGGTAGACGTGGCGGTGGTGGGCGGCGGCATCAACGGGCTGAGCGTGGCGTACGCTCTCCTGGATAAGCACCGCAAGGCCAGGGGCGCGGGCGGAGGAGGGAGGGGAGGCAAGGACCTGTCGGTGGTGGTGCTGGAGGCTCGGGCCATCGGTATGCCCTAATCGTGTTGCTCTGTATCACATTGCTGTAGCACCGCTCGCATACCACTTGCATGTGTGACCGTTGCTTAAGTACTCTCTGCTCTGCTCGTGACCATTCGTCACCTGCTCAAGCGGCACGTGCAACCCAGCCTGACTGATGCTGCGACTTTACATGCATCTGACCCGTTGTCCCATTGACGTGCTTCTGTGCAGGTTCGGGCCAGACGGGGCGCACCACGGCGTATCTCATGCCATGGAACGACGACTACTACAGTGTGCTCGAGCGCCTGATGTCGTTGCCTGCTTGACATTACCCCGACGCATTTCCTTCTTCACTCCTCCCCTCCTCACACTCCTCACATGCCTCTGCAGGCTCCGGTCAAACCGGCCGCACCACAGCACATCTCATGCCGTGGAATGACGACTGCTACAGCGTGTTCGAGCACCTGTTGCCTTGGCTTGACATGAGTCCGACACTTTTTCCTCCTCCCCTTCGCTTGCAGGCTCCGGTCAAACCGGTCGCACAACGGCGCATCTCATGCCATGGAACGACGACTACTACAGCGTGCTCGAGCGGCTCTTCGGGCGGCGCTGGGCGGCGCTGGTGGGCAGGAGCCACGTGGCGGCCATTGATTGGGTGGAGCGTGTGGTGCAGGAGCATGGCATCGAGTGCGAGTTTGAGCGCGTGGACGGGTACCTCTTCCCTCATGACAACTCCGATGAGGCCAACCGCAAGATGCTGGAGGTGGGTGGGTGGACGGGTGGGTGGGCAGGTGGGCGGGCACATGCGTGCGTGGGTGGGATGGGTGGGGCTCGTTAGTCCAAGTCACGTGGGCACGGCGTATGGCTGCATGCCGTTGATGGGTGGGTGGTTGCCTGGCCTGTCAGCACATCTGCCTCATAGCTCAGAAAAGAAAAGAAAAGAAAAGAAAAGAGAAGAGAAGGAAGGAAGGAAGGAAGGAAGGAAGGAAGGAAGGAAGGAAGGAAGAAAGAAAGAAAGAAAGAAAGAAAGAAAGAAAGAAAGAAAGAAAGAAAGAAAGAAAGAAAGAAAGAAAGAAAGAAAGAACCCGCCTTCTTCGCCTCCTCCCTTGATCCCTCTTCTTGCTCTAACTCACCAACTCCCTAATTCCCTTATTCACCAGGAGCTGGCGGCGTGTGAGCGCATCGGCCTCACAGACACCTCTCTGGTGGACCTGCAAGGCGACCCCGCCCTCGGCTCGCTCTCCTCTGCCCTGTGCTTCACCAACGCTGCTGACTTCCACCCGCTCAAGTGAGTGAGAGCGCCCGCAAGTAAGCACTGCTCAAGCGGTCGCCGCGCAGTTGTGCCTCTGGTCGCCACGTCGCTGAAAGGGCTGCTCACTGCTCATGCAATGTCACACATGAGCGCTTGGGGGAAGAGATTGCATGCGCTTGGGGGAAGAGATTGCATGCGCACTGCCCATGCATGCCTGCAGCGCTTCCCACGTTTCTCATGCAAGTTCTCATGCATCTTCATCTTCTAAGTCATGCATTTCCTGATTCAGGTACCTTCATGGGCTAGCAAGTGTGATCACGGGCATGGGAGGGAAGATCCACGGGAACACGCGCGTCAGAAGAATGCATGCAACCACTCTCTCCCTCATGCATGTGTGCCTCTCCCTCTCCACGCCTTCTTCCACAGGTACTTGCAGGGGCTGGCGAAGGCAGTGACAGCAATGGGAGGGAAGATCTACGAGAACACGCGGGTGATCCGCAACTCCTCGCTCTCCACCACTCTCGAGCTCAACACGAGTGTGCGCGTGACAGCTGGCAGCGTCGTATTGGCCACCAACTCGCCCATCAACCACAACCTGGCGGTGCACGCGAGGCAGAGCGCCTACCGGACCTATGTGGTTGGGCTGGCTGTGCCCAAGGGCAGTGTGCGGTGAGTTAAGAGGTGTGGAGTGCGGTGCTAGCAGGTCGCCACTGGGCAGAGCGCCTACAGGACCTATGTGGTTGGACTGGCTGTGCCCAAGGGCAGTGTGTGGTGAGTGGTTGAGAGGTGTGGAGTGCGGTGCTGACGGTCACTGCTGGTAGGTCGCCACTGGACAGAGCACTTACAGGACCTACATACTGGGGCTGGCAGTGCGTGGTGAGTCTTTGGGAGGCGTAGTGTGCGGTGGCCTGTGGTGAAGTCAGGTGATGGTGAAGTTAGGAGACGTTGTTGCACTTACCAGCTTCAGGCGAGAGTTGCCGAGTTGCAACAGCAAGAGGAGCTACAGCGAGCTGCAGCTGCTGCGTCTCCTCTTGCCGTTGCAACTCTGAAATTTTCGCCTGAAGCTGGTATGTGCAACAACGAGGGCAGTTGAGAAAGGGCATGTGAGAGGAGAGCAAGTGAGAGGGGGACAGGTGAGTGTAGGGTAGGTGAGAGGAGGGTTGGTGAGAAAGGGGTTGGTGAGAGGAGGTTAAGTGTGGGGGGGCCAGCTTCCTCCTTTTCATCTCCTTTCCGTTTCCTCTCTCCTTCCTCCCCCCTGCTTCTGCCCCCTACTCCTCCCTCTCTCTTCCCTCCCTCCTGCTTCATTCCCACCCTTCCGACCCTATTTTCCCCCACCATCCGCGCTCAGAGGTGGGACACAGCGTCTCCCTACCTAATACACTCCCTCCTCCCTCTCTCCTCCCTCTTTCCTCCCCACCCCTCACCCTCTCGCCCTCTCTTCCACCTTAAAACTCTCCCCTCCTGCACCAGCCGCGCCCAATGGTGGGACACAGCGTCCCCCTACCTAATACACTCCCTCCTCCCTCTCTCCTCCCTCTTTCCTCCCCACCCCTCACCCTCTCGCCCTCTCTTCCACCTTAAAACTCTCCCCTCCTGCACCAGCCGCGCCCAATGGTGGGACACAGCGTCCCCCTACCTAATACACTCCCTCCTCCCTCTCTCCTCCCTCTTTCCTCCCCACCCCTCACCCTCTCGCCCTCTCTTCCACCTTAAAACTCTCCCCTCCTGCACCAGCCGCGCCCAATGGTGGGACACAGCGTCCCCCTACCTAATACACTCCCTCCTCCCTCTCTCCTCCCTCTTTCCTCCCCACCCCTCACCCTCTCGCCCTCTCTTCCACCTTAAAACTCTCCCCTCCTGCACCAGCCGCGCCCAATGGTGGGACACAGCGTCCCCCTACCTAATACACTCCCTCCTCCCTCTCTCCTCCCTCTTTCCTCCCCACCCCTCACCCTCTCGCCCTCTCTTCCACCTTAAAACTCTCCCCTCCTGCACCAGCCTACGTGCGCATCGCGACCAACCAACACCCTTCCTCTCTCTAATGGTCCTTTCATTGATGTAGGCGGTGGTTTTCCCTCTCTCCCTCTCCCTTCCCTCTATCCACCTCCTCTCCTCCCCCACTTCCCCTCCCTCCCCCAACCCACCAGCCGCGCCCAGTGGTGGGACACGGCATCGCCCTACCACTACGTACGCATTGCTACCGGCCCGAGCGAGGCGGAGACAGACACGCTCATAGTGGGGGGCGAGGACCACCCTACGGGTGTACTGGCGCCTAAGGAGTACTCGCAGGCATATACACGGCTGGAGAAGTGGGCCAAAGCGAGGTGGACGTGCGCAGGAGACGTGGTCTTCAGGTGGAGTGGGCAGGTGGGTTCTGGTTGGGTGAGTGCTGGGGCGCGTGGGTGCTGGCGCCTGGGGAGTACGCGCAGGCATACGCGCGGCTGGAGAAGTGGGCCAGGGAGAGGTGGACGAGCGCTGGACGAGTGGTGTTTGTTTAGGTGGACTGGCCAGGTAAGAACCCTCTTGGGCTCTCTTCCCTTGGATTTGATGTGCTCCCCGCTCCTGGCCCCAGCCAGACACGGTTAGACATGCTGATAGTGAAGGGGGACGGGGATGCTGCCGCATCAAAATGCACTTGCTATCTTGGGGATTCTTCCTCCTGCTTCCCTTCTGCACGCTGCTGTATGAGCCAGTAGATCTCCCTGAACTGTGAACGATTTCTTAGACTTCTCAAAAGTTGTATGAGCCAGTAGATCTCCCAGAACTGGACAGCAAGAACCGTCTTATGCTGCTCTCCTGCCTCTCCCACCGCATGCCTCCACACCACACCACACTTAACCCCTCTGCACGCCAGGTGTACGAGCCAGTGGACCTCCTGGGGCTGTACGGCAAGAACCCTCTCGTGAGCCGGCCATCAAAGGACGTGTACATTGTGACAGGTACAGACAGGGCGTGACAGGTACAGACAGGGCGTGACAGGTACAGACAGGGCGTGACAAAACTTTCACTCGAAACGCACCCACACTGCTTGTACACTGTGAGAGGGTGAGATAACACCCGTTTGCTCATCCAGTCCGGTATCAGATGGCAACAAATAAAAAAACGCACCCGATAAATGATGGTCACACACGCTGCTCTCTCCGTTGTGTCTCTTTTGCCGCGTTGCAAAAGTGGGTCTGCAGCTGCACTTGCAGCTCTTTCTCTTTTCCTCCTCCCCCCTCGCCTCGCACCTCATAATCTCTTACCATGCTTTTCATCATGCCTGTCCACCATCCTGTGCCACCCGCCCTCCCACCACCCCCTCCTACCATGCCTCTTCCTACTGTGCTGCTTCCCCCCAGGCAACAGCGGGCAGGGCATGACGGGCGGCACCATATCGGGGCTCGTGGTATCGGATCTGATTCTGTCGGGGCGCAGCGAGTGGGAGGAGCTGTACGACCCGCGCCGCCTGCCTCCGCTCTCCCAGGAGACAGCTCAGAGCATTGCGAGCATCACTGCACACACTGCCCAGGTGTGTGGAAGCATGCAGCATGCACGCATACCACTCACGTGTCGGGGCACAGTGAATTGGAGGAGCTGTATGACCCGCGCCGCCTGCCTCCACTCTCCCAGGAGACGGCTCAGAGCATCGCAAGCATCACTGCAGACACTGCCTAGGTGTGTGGAAGTACGCACCATAACACAACACCACCACTCAGATGTGAGGTAGCATGCAGCGAGTGGGAGGAGCTGTATGACCCGCGGCGCCTGCCACCACTCTCCCAGGAGACAGCTCAGAGCATCGCGAGCATCACTGCAGACACGGCCCAGGTGTGCAATTCGTTAGGGGAATGGGATGAGAATCCTTATCATTCTCCCAGGGGACACCGTAGACCATTGCGAGCATCACTGCAGACACGGGTCAGGTATGAAGCAGTGCATGTAAGATGCCAAAAGGGTGCATCTTCTACACCTCTCCCCACTAACCTTCGTCATCACTCTCCTGCCACCATCTCGCACCACTACACACCACACCAGCTCATAGACGGTCAAATCCCCACCCCCTTTCCCCTGCCGTACGTCTCACCAGGGCTACGCATTCGACCTGCCAATCGTGCCTGGAGATGTGTGGTCGGTGGACAAGGTGAAGCCGAGGGAGGGCCTATCCTTCTCCATGCCACCGCTCATTGGACCTCCTGCACACCCCCCTCCCCTTTCCCCTGCTGTCCTTCTCACCAGGGCTACGCCTTTGACCTGCCAATCGTGCTGGGAGATGAGCGGTCGGTGGACAGGAGGAGAGCTTAACTTCCATGCTACCATTCAATTGACCACTTCGATTTCCATCCCTACTCCGTCCCTCTCACCAGGGCTACGCATTCGACTTACCAATCATCCCAGGAGATGAGCGATCGGTGGACAAGGTGAAACCAGGGGAGGGTGCGCTGGTGGCAGTGGGGCTGCACAAGCAGGCCGTGTACCGCACTGAGGGGGGCGAGCTGAAGCGATACTCAGGTGAACACGCAGGGTGGAACACAAATTGCCTGGGGTTATCAGGTCAATGCTCTCAACTCGTCACGGTGCAGACAAGATTGGACTTGCCTCCAGTGCAACATGAATCACTAGCAAAGGTGTCACCCCCACTGAAACATGGCTCTTGCTTTGGAATGGATGTCTCGACAGAGTGATGCCCTTGCAGACTCTCAACCTTATCCTTTCCTCCTTCCCCATGTCCAACTCCCTTCCCACGTCTCCCTCCCTCCCCACATCCGTATCCTCTCCCCAGCCATCTGCCCGCACCTCAAGTGCGCAGTGAGGTGGAACCCCAACGACAAAACTTTCGACTGCCCGTGCCACGGGTCTCAGTTTGACACATCAGGGAGGGTGATTCAGGGCCCAGCCAAGGCCAACCTCTCCCCTGTGTCCGGAGATGGCTGCTGTGGTTGAAGAGGTGGGGATGACTGTAGGGAAAGAGGTGGACCGCAGACATCAAACGGCTATGGTTGTTCGAGAGGTGAAGAGAGCGTTGGTAAACTCTGAAATCCTGATTGTATGCTACCGTACATGTGCTGTACATTTGTAACTGACTGATGCGGTCAACCTGTCCCGCTCACTTCAGCGAATCAGCACCCTAATCGACTGTTGACTTAACTTTATTTGGGTGTAGTGTGTCAATCTATGGAACGAGAATTGATTGAATTGAACAGAAGTTGGGTACAAGTACTAACCCTAATTGGGTTGTACCCATTATGGGCTACCCCACTACAGCCTACACAAACTAAGTACTATGACGGTTTTGGCACACCCCTATAGGCAAAGTGGGGGAGAACAAGTGGTCACAAGACCAGTCAAGAAAAGCAAAGCAAGCTCAGGGTGGATCACGAAGTCAACACACATTCCGAGCACAAGCAAATGGCCACAAGGCCAGTTCACGTGCAGAGTTATATAAAAGAGAACAAACAGTACAGTGATCAAAGCCTAGCAAGAGTAAGCATGCTGGAATATATATAGATCACAGTACAACAGAGTCATGCAGTGAGGCAAAGTAGGCACAAGGCCTAAAACAGTAGAGAAACGCTGATGATCACCAGACTGAAGTGCCTTGGTGAATATATCAGCAGTGTTGGCCCGAGTGGCCACGTAAGCAAGACGAAGTTGACCATGCTGCTGCAACTCTCGAGCAAGTACCGCAGAGCGATGTGCTTCGTTCTGTGCTCCAGTCTGTGCTCCTGACACAAGGCAATCACGGCCTTGTTGTCTACGTACAGAACTGGAGAAGAACGAGGCCGCTCTCCCAAGTCGGTCAGCAGGTAGGTGAGCCAGCGTAACTCCTGTGCAGCCATGGCCCCTGCGTAGATCTCAGCCTCACAACTGGAGTTGAGAACCGAAGACGAGCGGGTAGACCGCCAAGAAACAAAGCCGGAACCAAGGCTGAAGGTGTAACCATGTGATGACCGCTGCGTAGCTGAGTCGTCAACCCAAGAAGCGTCTGCGTGACCAGTGAGGACAACTGGAACCCGTCCTCCAAGCACGAGCCCCATGCACGATGTACTGCACAAGTAGCGCAACACCCTCTTAGCGGCCTCCCAGTGCTCTGGTCGGTGTCTCCCGGGCGCAACGTAGCATGCCAGGATGCTAAGAGGGTAGGCAAGGTCAGGTCGAGTGCAGGTCATCAGGTAGATGAGGCAGTCCACAAGCTCTAGATACGGGCCACTTGGCTCTACGGACTCGTCCAAAGGTGGAGCTGAGAGCGAGTGACCGGTAGGCAGAGGAGTGGACCTGTGGCGAGGAGTACCGGAAGCTGAAGCGCTGAAGGACCTGGTGCACCATGTGTGACTGAGTCAGGGTGATGGTGCGCCGTGTTCTGTCCCGGGTGATCTGCAAGCCAAGATAGCTGCGCAGCTCATCCAGGTCAGTGCAGGTGTGTCTCTTCTGCAGCTCCGACTTCACAAGGGCCAATGCCTCAATGTCAGTAGTGGCAAAGACCAAGTCGCCGACGTACACGAGGACGTAGAACGGCGGCAGCGAAGTGTTGGTGCGTAGAAACAGCGACGGGTCAGCGACAGTACAGTGATCAAAGCCTAGCAAGAGTAAGCATGCTGTAATATATATAGATCACAGTACAACAGATTCACGCAGTGAGCAAGTGAGGCAAAGTAGGCACAAGGCCTAAAACAGTAGAGAAACGCTGATGATCACCAGACTGAAGTGCCTTGGTGAATATATCAGCAGTGTTGGCCCGAGTGGCCACGTAAGCAAGACGAAGTTGACCACGCTGCTGCAACTCTCGAGCAAGTACCGCAGAGCGATGTGCTTCATTCTGTGCTCCAGTCTGTGCTCCTGACACAAGGCAATCATTGGCCTTGTTGTCTACGTACAGAACTGGAGAAGAACGAGGCCGCTCTCCCAAGTCGGTCAGCAGGTAGGTGAGCCAGCGTAACTCCTGTGCAGCCATGGCCCCTGCGTAGATCTCAGCCTCACAACTGGAACTGAGAACCGAAGACGAGCGGGTAGACCGCCAAGAAACAGAGCCGGAACCAAGGCTGAAGGTGTAACCATGTGATGACCGCTGCGTAGCCAAGTTGTCAACCCAAGAAGCGTCTGCGTGTCCAGTGAGGACAACTGGACCCCGTCCTCCAAGCACGAGCCCCATGCCCGATGTACTGCACAAGTAGCGCAACACCCTCTTAGCGGCCTCCCAGTGCTCTGGTCGGTGTCTCCCGGGCGCAACGTAGCATGCGAGGATGCTGAGAGGGTAGGCAAGGTCAGGTCGATTGCAGGTCATCAGGTAGATGAGGCAGTCCACAAACCCTGGATATGGGCCACTCGGCTCTACGGACTCGTCCAAAGGTGGAGCTGAGAGCGAGTGACCGGTAGGCAGAGGAGTGGACTGTGGCGAGGAGTACAGGAAGCCGAAGCACTGAAGGACCTGGTGCACCATGTGTGACTAAGTCAGGGTGATGGTGCGCCGTGCTCTGTCCCGGGTGATCTGCAAGCCAAGATAGCTGCACAGCTCACCCAGGTTAGTGCAGGTGTGTCTCTTATGCAGCTCCGACTTCACAAGGGCCAATGCCTCAGTGTCAGCAGTGGCAAAGACCAAGTCGTCGACGTACACGAGGATGTAGAACGGCGGCAGCGAAGTGTAGGTGCGTAGAAACAGCGACGGGTCAGCAGTCGAAGGAGCAAACCCAAGAGCCGCATGTGTCATCCTCAGTGTGTCGTGCCACTCGCGAGGCGCCTGACGGAGACCGTAGACTAGCTGTCGGAGGCTCCACTGGGTACCTGCAGGAAACGACTCAGTGAAGCCAGGTGGGCGGCGCAGCCAGATCTCCTCGTGCATGCTGCCCTGCAAGAAAGCTGTGCTGAAGTCAAGAGAGTGTAGCTCGTAGTCATGCTGAGCGGCGACGTGCAGCAGTACCCGAAGAGTGGTCATCTTTGGGGTAGGGGAGAAGGTCTGGAAGAAGTCAACTCCCTGTCGCCGACTGAAGCCTCGTGCAACGTAACGAGCCTTGAAGACAGGCGGAGAACCCGGCGGCTGCTTCACCCTGAAAATCCACATGCCATCGACTATGTTCGCCCCAGAAGAGGGAACTGCATCGACGTAGGTGCCTGTGGACTTCCAGGATGCCATCTTTGCGTCCATGTCTGTCTGCCACTGAGAGGAGTAGGGACCCGTAATCGCCTCTGCGTAAGAGCACGGGGTCGGGATGTCTGGTGCATCCGGGTCTCCCTCAAGTAAAAGCAGCATGGCCACGAGATGAGGTACAGCAGCTGCAAGACACTCAAAATCCTCCTGCTTGTCCTCAAGGACGTCCGTGCCAAGAGCACACTCACCCCCGACGGACGGAGGACAGTCAGACTCACACTCAGCAACAAGACTAGTGGCGTAGTCGAGACGACAGGCGGCAGCAAGTCAACAAGCTCAGCAACTAGGGCAGACGCAGTAGTGGACTCAAACGAAGGGTCAGTGACAACAGTGGCTAGAAGACGAGAGACAGTGGGACTGGCAGCACGAGCTAGGTCAGACTCAGGGTCAGGAATGGCAGGAAGAGAGGACTCAGGAGGAGGTGGTAGAGGAACTCGCGGTGGAACAGAGGAAGGACGAAGTGCCATAACATGAGTGCCGGGGACAAGAGGAGGACGCGGACGAGGAGCCCGACAATCAGTGCGAACAGTGCGAACAGGCGAGGCAGGACGAGACTCAGGCTCACGACGCTCTGTAAAAGAGTCTGTCTGCTCAGCGTAAGGAGAAGGAGCAGGCAGTGGGGATTCTGGCTGTAACTGTGGCTGCGACTGGCGAGGCGGTGGACTCAGTAAGCTAGGAGGAAGGCCAGTAGAAGACGGGAGACTAAGAACCTGGTGAAGGACCGAGTCAGGTGGCGGCAGAGACGACGGTGGCGGCGGAACAAAAAACGGGCGCCTCTGCACAGTGCCTCCAGCACTAGTACCGCCAGACGCAGCACCCCCAGCGCCAACACCTCTAGCTCCAGGGTCAAGAGCTCCAGCGCCTCCAGATCCAGCGCCCCCAGCGCTAGTGCCTCTAGCTCCAGCGCCTCTAGCGCTAGGGTCTCCAGCTCCAGCTCCTCCAGCTCCAGCGCCCCCAGCGCCAGTGCCTCCACCTCCAGTGCCTCCACCTCCAGCGCCAGGGTCTCCAGCTCCAGCTCCTCCAGCTCCAACGCCGCCAGCGCTAGTGCCTCCAGCTCCAGTGCCTCCAGCTCCAGCGCCTCCAGCACCAGGGTCTCCAGCTCCAGCTCCTCCTGCACCAGCGCTCCCAACACCAACAGCCCCGGCAGCTCCAGTACCCCTAGTACGAGCACCTCCAGGACCTCCAGCTCCAGCACGAACTCCAGCACCTCCAAGACCAGTAGCTCTAGCACCTCCAGCTCCAGTGCCTCCAGCTCCGGCAGCTCCACTCTGAAGGCGTGTGCGCTGAGAGAACTACTCGCGCAGCTGCTGCGGGGAGAGAGGCTCCGGCCGGGGAGACAGTCGTGGCGAGGCACCCGCAGGACCTCCAGCAGAAGCAGTACCCCTAGGCTCAGCACCCCCAGACTCCGCACCCTCAGACTCAGCAACCCCAGGCTCCGCACCCTTAGGCTTAGTACCCCCAGGCTCCGCACCCCCAGGCTCAGCACCCCCAAACCCCGCACCCTCAGACTCAGCACCCCCAGGCTTTCGCACCTGCAGGCTCAGCACCCCCAGGCTCCGCACTCGCAGGCTCAGCACCCCCAGATGCTGCACCTCTCGCAGCACCTGAGTCTACAGCGACCTCGACAGGCACAGTCCCAAGGAGTGGGTCTACATGAGACACACCTGAGGGAGCAGGACCCTGAGGGGGGAGGGGTCTACCAGGAGGGGGACCTGGAGCAAGAAAGAGCGGCGGGGGTGGGAGAGGGGCAGAGCGTTAGGGGATGAGACGGTAAAAGTGAACCGACTCGTCAAACGTGACG